ATGTGCTTTATTTTCCCGATTTGCCCTAGTTTTCACACGAACACAATTTTAGCAGGCGATTTGAATTCACTTTACGAACTCTGTGATTTCCGGTGAAGTTTCAATAATATTTCGAGTATCTCATATTGTCCTTTAATTGTGATGTTAATTGAAGCCCTAGCATAAACATCACATTTAAGGAGCATGATGAAATGCTTGAAATGTTATTGAAACTTCAACGGAAATCACAGAGGTGATAAACTGAAATCAAATACCCCGCTAAATTTTGATGTGAACCCAATCGATAAAGAAGATTTCTTCTGCCAGTAGTGGAAATCAGAGTTTAGTTTTGATTGCAGCCGGTAATTTAAGCGACAAATAGCATTCTGCAGGCGTATTTCCTAGGCCTATTATCTAGTTTCCAATCTATAACATCTGTGATCTGTGGTTGTTTGTGGGTTGAGTCGCATTCGCATTATTTGAGGGGTCCAAAATGTCTTCTTGTCCGTGGGCAAATATAAAGCTACCAGATCCAGTCAGATTAGACGACATAATATCAGAAGAAATTGCAAAAGATTTGAAAGCGAAAGAAATGAAAGAATTCTATCACCAGAGTGACGGTACGTATTATAAACGTAACATCAGCACAAAAACCTACGTGGTTTCTTAAAGTTGCTCTTAGCAACAATATTTAATGGGTAAATGTTATTTCAGTTCAACAAGGCGAAGCTGGAGCTTTTACGAATGAGTTTCTGGTTTCCAACGACATCCCGGTTAATTCTGCGAAATCCTCTTCAGATGAAAAAATTGAAAGTGACGCAGAAATTGCCCACATTCTTCAAATGCAATTTAACAAAGAATATGACAATTTGCTGGCGAAACGTGAACAGAAAATAAATGGCACCTCCAAAGTGTCTATTTCGTTTGACAAATATAAAATATCCCGTCAGTGTGATGGTAGGATAAAGGATAAAATAAATGTAGCATGCCTGATGAATAATTTTAGATGATGAATTCGAAAACGATCGATGCGAAGTTGAAGACCCGCAAGACAGGAAAGATTGGGACAGATTCGATAGTACTTTGAGGGAAGTAAATTCCATTCCTGGTCGCGGTTGGAAGGTAAACAACGGAAATACACAAATAGCGCTCAAGTCCATTACGATTAACCCGTCTATTTTATTGTTGCTCACCAGGAAACAGAAAAAGGGAAAATAGTGACTAAGCATGATTTAGTCAACAATGGCAGATTAAATACATTGAAACTGATGGAGCAATTTCCTCCTGAGTTTCCAACAGGTGACGGTGAAGACATTGATATGAAGTTGTCGAATAGAACTTTCAACACGTAAAGTTATTCAAGTGATCCTGTTGTTGCCTATATTTAATGTGTGTGTGTGTGCGATTTATAGCTTAAAAAAACACGCAAATAAGGAACATATCAGAAGATACAGAATTCAAGATAAAAGAGAACAGGCTACTACCGAATTCGCAGTGGATCAAGTAACAAGTCATATTTTGTATCAACTGTTATTGAACCAAGTAATAAAGACTTATAATGGTACTATTAGTGTTGGTAAATATTAATAACTTTAGTTGAAATATTATTATCTCACTTTACTATTCTCCTATTTTAGGTAAAGAAGCTGTAGTAATGCATGCTGTGACGAACCAGGACTGGGTTGACACACAAGAAATGCTACCTAAAGAATGTGCGATCAAAATATTCAAGTCAACATTAACAGAGTACAAAAATCGCGATAAATTCATTAAAGACGATCACAGATTTAAAGACAAGTATAACAACTGTAAGTATGTATAGACAAAATTCACAACACTCAGGTTAGTACAAATGAAATTGAAATTACGTGTATCATAGTTTTCCTCTGTGTTTGTATCTACGATCCATTATAATGTACGTGATATATTTTTTAAAGTTTTTACCATTGTTGACTGCACTGTACGTACTATATGTTGTAGTATTTTGGTTTGTTTTTTTACTCGCTTGGTCCATAAAATTTGTGAATTTTTCCGTGGCAATAAAGCATATTTTTATTTCAAGAAGAAGTTGGTGTGTAGGTACACACTGGATGAAATTCAATCAAACAAGTTTCTGTGTTTGTCAAAATATTCAATCAAACTTGTTTCATGGAATATTTTGATAGAAGTAACTTTTATGCTTAATCTAATTTTGCTAGGCAAACCAACATCTTCAAAAGCTTTGAATGCCTGGGCAGAAAAAGAAATGGCCAATTTAATTAGGCTAAAGCGAGCAGGTCTGAGATGTCCCGATGTTGTGCGTTTAAAGAAACATGTTCTGGTGTTGTCATTTATTGGTCAGAACAACATTGCTGCCCCTAAGCTGAAAGATGCTGTCCTGGATGATGCAGATTATGTCAATGCTTACGAACAGGTTATTAACGTTATTATTGTTGGCGAAGTTTCATTTGTTTTACATCACTATTTAATTTTGCAAACCGTTAGCATTAACTTGCGATTTGATTAAAGATGTAACTATAATGCTTCTTCGTAAGCTTAAATAAGCAGTCACTCAGATCAGAATATTAAATTTTAGATTGTTGACGGTATGAAACTGATGTATAATAAGGCACGCCTCATACATGCGGACTTGTCAGAGTACAACATTTTATGGCACGAGCATATGTGCTATTTTATCGATGTTAGTCAGTCCGTAGAGCCTGTGCACAAAAACGCCTTCAAATTTTTATATGATGACTGCAAACATATTACCAACGTATGCGAATAAATATTTTAAATGTATTTTTGTTATACTCGATTTAACATTGCAGTTCTTTTCAAAGAAGCAGATAGTTCCAAATATTCTGACCACTGACGAATTGTTTAACAGCATTGTTGGACGTTCATTCACTGAGATGATGGATCTTGAAAGAATTCGAGAGTCAACCAAAATAAAACCGCATAGCATGAATCGTGCCGACAACCAGTACTATGGATTTGAAGCAAACTGGGAAAGAGCAAAACAGAAACGAAAAGAAAATACACCTAATACGAATGCCACTGAAATAAATGAACTAATTGATTCTTCCGACTGATAAAAGAAATTTGTAAAACACGGACGATCAACGATTTAACTTTGAAATGTATTACTGACCGTTGTGTAGTTGTGTAGGCTTATTTTTTTATATGTAAACATGACACTAAAACGCTACTGACTATTTTCTTTGACGGTAACACTTTTTTATGTCGAAAAACTATAAAATTTGGAAAATATTTTTGTCATGATCTGAGGAAATGTTTTTCTAATTTGCCAAGAATCTATTAATTAATTTTGTTAATTAAATAAATCTATTAAAAATTATTTCCTCGATGTATTGGAACAAAAAATATAGCTTATAAACTAGACTACTTTTAAGTCAACTCACCTCTATCCACCCTTGCCAAAATAAAAAATATATCGAAGAAACGTTAGTGTGTTTAAACATTTTATTTACCTATGAATCATATGAAGTAAATATTTACTAAGAAATTAGCCTCCTTAGATGCAAAATTGTAATTTATAAATTTGCGCAAGCCTACATCTGATTGTTATCCCATGGGGAACGTACATTAAAATAAATAATATACATTACGTACTAAAATGTATGTCGATTTACCAATAAGGACAATAATGCTGCCTGCACACTCGATGAAAATTAATTGATTCAAATGACACCAGCAAAACAATACAAAAAAAATATAGCATTTGTATTGATATAACATATTCTAAAAACAATTTAAATCACTTAAGTATAAGCTTTCGGGGCCGATTCTGCTCTATTACGACATTCGATACATACATTAGTTTTAAGCGATACTGTTCGAATAATTATTATCGTAATTCAGCCTACCAAAACGGACACCAACCTATGTAACACTGGCAAAGATTCTCGTTGCTTGTCGCTTGTTGGATCAGCAAATCAACCTGCTTTTGGACAGTTAGCATTTCTTCAGAGTGGAAATCTTTGCCCGTTAACTTGTCCCTGACCCTATTCATAATAGAAGTGAAAAAAAAAGTGAATTATGCTGAAGCAAGAATATCCATGATTTTTTTTTCGATTAGTAAAAAATATCAAACTATCCCAGTATACACATGAAATTAATTAATATTTTGAAATATGTAAGCGTAAGTAACATTTCGAATTTGCCGTCAATATTTCAATGGCGTATCAAATATCCAATTAATAAAAGACATTATTCGTGATAGTTAAGCCGAGATTATTATTACTCTTTAAAAGCAAGGTATTATGTAGGCACGATAGCTTACCGGTTTATAATTGTAACTGCTTTTTTGCTGACCGTTTCCGGTTGAGAACCATCATTAATTATGTCGATTAGTAACGAACGTCTGTGGACCACACTGAGGGACTCCGGAAAGTCGTCTTGCGAGGTACTCGTTGAATAACTTCCTACTTCTGTATTAGAGCTGAAACGAAAAATTGATGCAGAAATTTCGCAATCAGGAGCACGTCCAACACTTACCGATTTCTATAAGTGGTTTCGATGAGACGCCAATTGAGTAACGGATCATAAACAAACGCCTCTAATACAGCCATTACACTGTCCTTATTTCTGTGAAGTACAGACATGACACTCTCGCAAGTACGTCGGTATGTGCCTTCAATACCAGTCACCTCCATTGCATTTATCAGCATACGGGTAAGGCGAAAAGGTATTTTTTCTGGAAATTTCTCCCGATCCATAGCTACCTAAAAAAGCATCGTAAGATATTTGATATCGGTGCATGTGTGAATTTTACCTCAAAACAGTCACCAAAGTCGATGTGTAAGATCTTGCCACTCAGACGATCCAACATCAGGTTGGAGGGGTGCCGATCTCCCAAGCCTAAAATGTATCCTACCATCGACATAACTGCTAAGGATCTGGTGTAGTTCGTTCTTCTCTCAAACCACACTTCCGATGATGGGCTTTTCAGCCATAACAAGCGCGCTAAATCGTCTCCATTGGTGTGCTCTAACGCGTGCTCAAATACTTCCACCTAACATCAAAGTAATAATTCAGCATGTCGTACTATAAAACACTTTAGTATGATATTCAGCTCAGTCAATCCAGAAAAGATCCAAAAGATGAATAAATTGAATTAAGGTGTTCACTAAAGCGTTATATATAAACGTAGCTATCAGCAACCCATAACTACTTATGAACCGAAAAATCACTTACAAAACGAAGTAGAAATTAAAAATCTGTAAGCTCACCTTTTGCATTACATTCAAATGATCGTAATCAGACGCCATTCGAAGCATAATTCTATGCTCAATGTTCAAGAGGATTTTTTTCTTGTCCCTGTAATCCCGTATCAAGGTATGTAACGTGTCGCAGTGCGGTACCCAACCAATCAGTCCACTCTTGGTGCTTAGTGGTATAACAACGTATCTCTGGATAGTCAAATTTCGCCGAAAAGTATCCGGGTCCTTTTGTAGCAACGTATTCACCAATCCAAACAATTGCATAACTCTCTCATCCTGTCGAAGATCCTCGTGGCCTTTCAGAAGAAACATGTAATCTTTACCGTTACTACCGCGAATTATCAGCTTTCGAGGGCGTTGTTTCGATGTTATTACCTACAAACATGTTGTAGTATTCGCCTATTTATTCATGTTTCATTTTATAAAAACATATCCACAAAAATAAACAGTAAATAATTAAAGTTGTCGCAATTGTAAATATAGGATCAGATAAACCTAATCAATTGACAGACCCTAGGCGACCAATGCTCCAGTGTAAGAAGCAAAACAAACAAATGTACATACCTCTAAAGAGCTCTGAAAATATGCGATCCTCACGACGGGTTGACCCGGCGCATAACTGCCAGGTACAGCCAGTTCTAAATTCTGGCATTTCAACAAATTAGGCGATACGTAATGCAGTTCGAGTGTGGTCAATTGTGGCAATTGTCGAACAATTCTTCTGAATACATGGTAGTACAAGTCCCATGCTTGATTTAAGTCTTTTGAGTTTCCTATTAAGCAAATCATATACAACATAAGAATATCGAATGGAATGAAGCGCAGGCGATACAACGTCTACATCACAGTTTCTAGTTCTAAAAATGTTGAATCCGCGAGAAGCTTAAATCGGGCACATTGAATAGAATTAAAGCATTTAGGTTTTATTAAAATATTAATATTTAAAAATGCTTTCCAAGGAATTGTAACTATGTACTCGCCTGAAGAACGATATCTTCGACACCACTCATGAGCCTCTGCTAAATCGCGACCATACGCTTGGTTAAAACTGGTCTCTTTTAGGGTTTGTGGACCCCTTTGCATCATTTGATGTAGAGGCTCCAAAATTCGAAGCATTCCTTCAACATTTTTCTCACCAAAATACAACCTAGAAAAAAACAAATTACTGAAGCTGCAAATAAAACGATCTTTTATTACCTGGAAGCCTCCTCCAACCCTTCATGCCAAATTTCATGCCATAGAATAGCGACACGAATCAACTCTTCGGATGCCATAACCGCTTGTCTAACCAGAGTTGGAAAATGTTCGCTCATGGATTTTAGGATTTTGTTGGCCGCACTTCGTCGGATAGGAGAATTACTTTTTGATGCTACTGTTAAAGGATACACTAGAGCCTGTAAGTTACAAAATTAATTAAAAAGTATTTTTTTCTTCGTGTCAAGTTTAATGCAAAAAAGTTTCGAATTAGCTGCATGATTACCTGCGGATGTATTTTGCCAATATCAACCAACAGATGATGAATGTTTTTAGATACAAGCAGCCGGTTGGTATCTATCCTTGCAATCAATTGCGGAATAACTTGCAACCAGGTATTCTTGTCAACTACCCTGATTCCATCCGTTATTGCTTCTGAGACCTGAGCAGACAGGCCATAGTCAAACCAGAGAGTAAGTAATCGCAATGTGTCCTGAAGAGAACTGCCTTTAGATAACTGAATTGACCTACAAAAAGCATCCAAAAATAATAATCGCAAGCAACAGGCCTAACTTGTGAGCGAATTTTTCTTACTTGAAAAATCCTCTAACTGCTAACACAGTATGCTCGTTGGTATCAATCTCTTCAATTGACCTTTTGCTACTAGAGGCTGGATCGGAGTCTTTTTCTTGCTTGTTTTTGTAGAGCAAAACCGTCTCAAAGTTGATATAGGCCCAGGCATGCCAAGCCTTGTACCAATCCTTGTCAAATTCGGTAGCTTTTTCGTAGCAGTTCAACACGGAACGAATGGACGTGGCGTTTATGCCTTCCAAATTTTCTTGCCAGGAACCAAGCTTCAAGAAACACCTAAAATTCGATAGGTATACAGAGACAAGAGATAATTGTCTATTCTATCGGAAGATGCACATTTGCAAAAGATATCCAACAAATGTTTGCGATGTGAGACTGTGCATAAACTGAGACCGGCGAATAATTTTGGTGTAAGATGCCCACCTTGCCAAAAGCCGTTGTCTGTCCTCCACGGAACTTTCAATTCCTTCTAATTGCACATAAGCGTTTAAAAATGTCTGTAACTGATCAAAAGCCCGATGTTTGTCTCCGACTTGCCATAAATGTTTGCAATAAGCAAACGTTACTTGCGGTTGGGAGACCGGGAGCGGCTTATCTGGAGCAAGTTCCGGGTCATAGCCTAAGAGCATCACTAGCGTCTTGTGGGATGGTTTCTAAAACAACCCACATGAATGTTATCTGCATGTCTGTTACTGGCTGAAAGGTTCTCAACAAATCAATGCATTTTTCTATTTTATAATATAAAGAGAACTAAGTTTAATCTAGAGCAATTCAATTAAGTAAATTGTTTAGTGCTGTTTAGCAAACGAATTTTGAAAACTGCTATACCACAGATCCGTTTTTTCGGCATAACGAGGCGTATTTGAGCCAGGACTTGGAATCCTCATGAGGCTGTAAAACTAAGGAATGAACTTGAATGATTTTCTGCCAGTCCTCAACTAGCCTTTGCCCAGCCTGCAACCGTTGCCACCACATCTGCTTGATGGTTTCGCGACGTTCAGATACTAACTTATATTGCATGACCTACAAACAAAAAAATGATTTCCGTGATTAAAAAAAACATAAAATATGGGTAAAACAATGCCTCTTCCAACTCGCTAAGCATCTGAACTTGGACCATGGCACCATAAGCTCGTTGATAACTCTCTCCAGCCATAGCAGTTAGCTCTGTGTCTATCATGTCTCTAGCACGATCAATGAAATCCTGAGCAATTTTGTACTGTTCCTTGTGGATAGCTAAAATGGCTCTATAGAAAGAGCCGTCCTGGGTATTCTGGGGAATGACTTTCACGTAGCTGAACGTAATATAAAAATACAAATTAAATGTACAATACAGAATTCATTATTTTCTAGAAAGACTAACACAGAATATTTCATTTGGGGGATAATCCTAAACAACATTAACATCAACCATTACCTACCGTTCCATGGACTCGTAGTTGTGTAATCCAAATGAGGAAGCTAGGGCTAAGCGACAGGCTTTTTGTTTATTGTCTTCAGTAAGAAGTGTAAATTTGTTTTCAAAAACATCGTGCAACTGACCCCATTCGCCTAAAGCCTCCAAACATCTGCATAAAACAACGAACAAAAATAAAGTGAAAATATATGTAGATGTTGATGCAATTTTACCTCATTTGGCCCAGGCAGGCTTCTTGATCGGTAACGTCCTTTTCAAGTTTGAATTTATACATTCCTAACGCTTTGTCCCAGTTGTGTAGTTTTTCGTACCACCGAACCTAAATTGAACGCAGACTCTGAAGACCTTGCCAATATATAACATCAACAACATTGCATGTTGCATTGAGTCATGTACGTGGCACCATAGGAATAGTATGACAATAATTATGCGTGTTGTTAAATTTGACCCGACAATGCCAAATTATCTTTCAAGTATACGAAGAACTTTTTAGAAATGTAACTTGTGCTTAAATGATGCACATAAACAGTAGTTTGTAATCAAATATTCAGTGTAATCACCTCTCACAAGTAGAAAATTAAATTAATGTATTCTCAATCAGTTTGATGGATTGAAATTAATACACAGATCAATTATTAGTAAATGTATTTCAATGTTTTAAATTTGTAAATGAATAAAAAAAATTACCTGCACTTGAGCCTCGTTTCCTTGTCTCATAACATACTGCAGTAAGCCCTCGGCTGCTTCTTTTTGTTGCAATTTATTGTTAATTGAAATCAGAGCTTCTATCACTTGCTGATCCTTACTGCCCCCACGTAAAAATTCGTCTTCTTTGTAATGCAAAGCTTTTGCATACGCTCTGATTTAAAAAAAAACAATATTCTATGCATATAAATACTGACGAGGGTATTCTTACGCATGGATTCGAAACAACCCAATTTATGCGAGATGAAGTGAAAGCTCGTTCAGACGGTGACATCTAATTCCGTGACAGCTTTCGACATTCGATGTCATGACACTAGGTGTTCACACTCACCCTTGTCAAAAATTGCGGAACTCCTATCAGTTCGGATGTGTTAGAAGTAGGTAATTATTTTAAAATTAAGGCGAAAATAAAAAAAACGAGTATGAATGAGACAGTAGATCATGCGTAAAAACAAACTAGGGGAACTCTAGAAAACTAGAAACTCTACTAAGGAAACGTTTTTATCTATGCTTAAAATCGAAAATTGATTTATCCCATATGATTGATGAGGATATGATTGGTAATACTCCAGAAATGTAATCAAATCAAAGGGGGACATTATTTAAAACCAAACGAAATGAAAATATCGCACCAGATTGATAACCTTCAAAAAATGTTAAAATGTCACCGAGACATCGGCAGTGTCACGCATATACCTATTACAATACACCCGATGCCTTCCAATTTTTGATGCAAAGATATGAGAGACAGGAATATGGATTGTGCATAAGTCTGTTTCACAGACGAGCGTACTGTTTCTGCGCATCCTTTAATATGGACATTTTTGATTGGTTGGTTTTCACAGGTGATGCTATACATCGGCTATTCGACAAGTTGACCAATAATATCACGGCATTTGGAGCAAACGCCGTTGTTCTTGGACCGACTGAAGGATAGACCTATGCAATTTGGATAACTCTGTTTCAAGGTCTTGGCTTCAAAATACTCTCATTGTGTATAAGAGAGTCAGAAGACATTGATGTCACCGTGTGAACGAGCTTTAATATAAAGGTGTTGTTACTTATTACCTGCAATGCATTGCATGTTCGCCCAATAAGCGTCCATTCAAAGGCAAGGGTCCCTTATCGCAGTGTTCCATAAACTCAGACAAATTCAGAATGGTTTGAGTTATTTCTGGGACATCAGGAACTGTCAGTGCTTGCTCTAGGCAACCTAAAACATTCGATTTTCGAAACAATGTTTTTCGCTTAAGCCTTTTCGTTTCAGGATGGTGAGTATCAAAGGTCAATACATAAATTTGAAATTGATAATATTTGCCCGTATATATGTTCGATTCTGTCAAATTACCAATAAGCTCTTTTTGCATATTTTCAGTCAGCTCCGTCCAACAACTCACAAAGGCAGCATTAAACAGGTCTCGAGGCAATTGAGAATAAATCTGTGCTAAGGGCAGGCAAGACTTAAGGGCAGGGATCGGAGATTGCTTTAAAAGTTCCAAACTTAGTCCTCTAAGCCACTCCAACCAATCGTCCTGTAACAAAAACCAACTGTAGTGACGTTTTTTTCAATCACGATCAAGGATTGCGTACCTTTGATACCCTTCTGACAGGCACCCAAGCTTCCTGCAGACTTTGTTCAGATGCCTTCAACCTTTGAATTGTGGAAGAGTCCCCAGACATACCAATATCCCGATCTTTGCGTTGTCTACAATTTAGTTGTTTATAATCCCTAATTAAAATGGAGAAAAATACTGTTACTTTCGGTGCCTGGTCATTGGCAAATCCAGCTCATCCGCCATTGTGGTATCAGTTTCAACTGCTGCGACCAGAGTCTCCCAGCTACAGAACAGTTGTATTATTTTACTGGAACAAACTACAGTCGAACTGTACCTTCTGTGATTGATCTTGTGCTTTACCAAGACTTTTTGCACCATGGGTACAAATATGCAGAACTTCCTGCCCAGTTGCGTGACCAACGAGCAAAGTGTATCCATAGCCGTGTCACGTAACTCCGGGTTCTTGTCGATAGTGCGCACTAAAGGATGGGTTATTCGAGATATGTAATCGGATAAATCAATCACTTCAGCCAGCTGATCAATTGTTTCCAGTGCTTGTTTGGAAACGGCCATGGGGCAGTCGGAAGCGTCGATTAATCTGAATAACGATTGGTTTTAATTAGAAAAGATGTATTCTTAATGCAGGCTATAAATGAATTGGGGAGATGTTAGAAATAATTCAGTATTCATTACTCACCTAACGATAGGGGGCAAGATCAAATGCATATAATCGTCTAAAATGTTACCGAACCGATGCAGAGCGTTTAGTAGATTGATGGTGTGCTGTTTGTCTATGGAAGTATCATGATTCAACACTCTAAGTATTTGTGGTATCAACCGCGGTAAATATATCTTAAACTCCGCCCCTAATGCTTCAGCTATATTTTCCAGCAAAAGAATCATCGTACCTGCAGACAATAAAACAGGTATTAATCCAAAAATAAATTAGCAGTAACAATTATTACCTTGCATGGCACAGTTAGGAGTCCAAAACTCTTTAATCAAGTCGCAAATGTCATCAAGATAATTACTTATATGTTGCTTGACAATAGATATGAGTTGGGCAAGCTGTTGAAAAAGAAATTCTCGAAAGTTAACGTCTGCCGTGCGAACGACGTTCAGTAGACTTGGCAGAACCTGAGCAATGTAGGGAACACATTTGATACCCAAACAAGTAAAGGTGAAAGTAACAGCTTTAACAACCATGGTATGATACTGAGACAAGGTAGAGTCTCGTATAATCTTCAATAAAGTTGCTATTGCCATAGCTGGAAGTGGATTATTTAAACAGTTTTATGATTGAACTTGAAACCAATAGACATTCCGACATACCTAAGTAATATTCTTCCAAAGTGCTGGAGCTCATGTTAACGAGCATTTCGCTCGATGTTAAGTCGCTGTCTTCAGCTGCATTCTTGTCTGGCATTGGAATCAACGTAGGAGCTTGTGGTAAGTAGTAAATTTCACCTCTGTGCATTTTATGTGTATACGGATCCAACGCTCCTAAACGAAATCAAAGGTGAATAATTGTAAGAGCGAATATGGATGCAAAACCTACCAAGAAGACCCAATACGCGAATTGTTTCTCGACGTATGTATGGGTGTTCTTCAGTCTTTAGAAAGTTAATCAGAATATCCAGTAAAACGGGATATTCACTGTATGGTCTTACGACGTGTCCAGTGGCTCCGACAAGCTGACCTAAAGTCACCAGCGCTGCACATCTTTTATCGGGGGCGGAAGCATCTCCCAAAATTTCCAGTAAAATCCCCTACATAGTTAATGAATTATTATGCAATATGCCTTCTTTGTTAAACTACAGTCCAATATATAAATACATACAGGGTGATTCAAAATTGGCGCCATTCCTTTTAGAGGGTAATGGGAACTCACTTAAATAGTAAAAAATATTTCAATATTTTTTTCGATAATTTCGATAATTTAGATATTAACAGCTGAAAATCGAATTTCAACTTTGTTATTAAGCATTATTTTAAAATGGTCCTATGTTTGATTGGTAGCCTATTGGAATACTTAAACATTCGACAAGAGAAATTGCGATCTTTGCTTCAAATTACGAAAAATTTTGATATTAAAAAAGTTCTCTTCTACTATAGACATTGGAAGAGTGACTCCAGGAAGATAGTGGACGACAATAGATGTTCGGGTTCCAGGCACAGAGGAACAAGTATTGGAGATAATTGCAGCAGAGCCTTCCAGAGGTACTCAGAGCATTGCACAACAACTGCCACTTTTCCAGGCAACAAATAAATACCGAGGAAGGGTTACATCCCTACCACGTATGAAAGATAAACAGAGCACCAGGACACATTAAACCAATGGCTTACCGAACACAACATAAATTGAGCAGCAGTTAATTTTTAAGTTAAAGACTTAAATGAATGTTTATCTGTAAACATATCATTTCGAAGTTATGAGGACAATAATTGACATTTCGAAAAAAAAATCCTGTTGAATTTACCGTTTATCCTTGTCTATTTTATTCACTTTCCGTATAATAATTCCATGGCTACCGGTTAATAATTACGAAGCAACAGATATTTACGTAATGTTAATTAGCCAGATTACTTTGAAAAACATTGTTGCCGTTATGATATAGTTTTTAGCAAATTTCTGAGGTTTTAATAACAATTATTTTTTTACTATTTTTTCTGTACTCCTAAAACACCTCCAGAGGAATGAGGCCAATTTTGAATAACCCTGTATAGGTAAAAACCGAATAAATACTGACCATTAATTCTTGCATCCATACTTGAAGCTCAGCATCTCCAACTGTAACCTCTGCAAGATCACCAATAGCGTACAGCACAGATAACACAACTCCTGGATTTGGTTCACCTTCCTTTAGTTTGGGAACCAGTACCTATTGATGAAGTAAAATAATTTTATTAATATTATCCGGTTATACATATCTAGGTAATGAAACCACCTTTAAAATAGGTTCCATATATGGACGAATTAATCTAGGTGCTCGAATAACCAAGTGATCGAGTAGGGTAGCTCCTTGCTCTTTGTTTCTACCAGTGCCTGAGTGCTCCAGCTCAGTCAACAGTTGCACCAACACTTTTCGAATACTCGGCATTATGTAAGCGGGGTTCATGCAGCTGAGACGTCCTATTGTTAAAAGAGCTACCTAAAAAGCAAAGTTGTTTTAAAGTTTTAAGACATAGATGGTTTTATTAAAATTGCCTCCCGAATTCGAAACTCTTCATCTTGCAGGGCAATAAACAGTGACTCCAGCGACTTGGCCTTCGCTAAATGATGATCAAAAGTTGGATCCAGTGATGTTAAAACTCCGTACCGCACTTGTGCTTCGCTATCGATAAGCGCAACGCCTATAAAGGAGTATTACCACCCACTTTAATAGAAACTTAAAAACTTATAAGCATAACTCACTTAGCAATTTTTCAAGCACATCGGCGACTGTTCTCGACAGAGTTTCACTAGTTTTCTTGTCCGCGCGATTAACTGCATGTCGCAACAATCGACTGGTGGTCCTGACAGCTTCCAGGCGGATTTCGGTAACTTCGTGCACTAGGAAATAGTTAATGCATCTCTGCAAAAAGGGTAGAAGTCGTTGTCCCTCAAAGTCAAATGTACCTAAAATATATTTGCTCACAACAGATGTGCAGGTAATAATATAATTTTGTTGTCAATATTTAAAATATCTTTTACTGTAGGTGTAGGTAGGGCCTCTTTTAAAAAATTCAAACTCTACGACAAAAGTCGTGCTTATTTAATTTTCTCATCTTACCCAATGTGTGAAGCGCCAAAACAATTAAATCGGTCCCATTAGGGTCCATTGCCAAAGTGACCAAGGGAACATTAGAAGTCAAGTTTCTAGGCATTCCTGGATGCAGTAAAGGCCTGTTTAACAGAATGTGAGAAAGGATTCTAAGTAAACCCAAGCTGATTTTGTCCTTGTGTTCTGGTACTTTCTTGGCTAACTCACGAAGACATATTGTGAGTGATTGACTTAAACCAGTAAGTAGCATCTGAAAATATTACTCAAACATTCATTTTAGGAAACGAATTCCGGTTAATCAGGCTCTTTCAAAAAGTGTCCTCGCGAGTATCAACTGACCTGATCCAAAATGACAGGTATTTCCATTTGCTCATGTCGTTTTAAAGCCAGAGCTACGAATGTAATGCACTTGAAAACACAACTATCGATTGCTGGTCTACGTTTGCTAGGAGTATCGACTTTTGGAAGCGATCCTTTAATCAGTTCCATTATTCTATCAGCATACGGATCTATTTCTTCCTCTACAGCTACCGCAATCAAACCTAAAATCATACAGTATAAGATTTCGTTTCGCAAGCTTATCTTCAACTTGCCGATAGTAATAAAAGCAGTATTTCTATCCTTTTCACGGCCCTTCAGAATACTGAACAGATAGTTCATAGCGTTGGGTAGATATTTCTCGACAAATTTTTCCTTATTAAATGCAGCCAATCTGGGCATAATAGTTAATAGAGTTTGCTGCACAAAGTTGACTTTTAGTGATCTGAAATTGCTCTTATGCTCCATCCAGAAATGCTACTTATCATTAAATGCCACTTACTTTTGAGCCAAAACATCCATGCAAATATAATCAAACTTTTCACTGACTAATTGATGACATATGATGGATTCAATAACCACTGGCTTTTCAGCTAGTGAGGTAGCATTGATGAGGTTGTGTGATTTTTTTTTGGCATGCATAAGATACATAAATTGAGGTCGACTTAGACTGAATTGTTCAATTTCTTCCTCCCGTTTTGGATCAGTACTTTCTTGAAGAGCTATGTATTTTCGTTCCCAGGACACATTTGCGCAACAGAGCAGTTCGTTTAAGATGAGCAGAGAACCGTGTGCTCTATCGTCCCGAATTCTTTCCCCTCGTTCCACAGACAGCAATTTGCCAGACATGTCATAACACTGCTTGTACCTAATCAACAATAACAGTTAGAATAACAACGTGAAGAGCACGTTTCAGCTACCAGGAACTACCATGAAGTGGTGCTTCTTTGAATGTCTTTGGCATTCTCTCGCTGGGCAGCCACAGCTAAAGCCGCTCTCAGCGCTTCTATAGCAGCTTCTCGGATGGCTTGCTTGGGATCTTGGATAGCACAAAAAATAGACTCGAAGAACTGAGACACATGCTGGTAAAAATATGTGGGCAGAGCGGTAGCAAATTCCTTTAGAACCAAAACAGCTGCATGACGTTTTGACTTAAATGAAACAAAATATAATTTGATTAGAATGTTTACTTCCGTCCGTTGTTTAACTACCTCAACTCTATCCAAGTATAACCACTCCAAAGCAGTTTTCACTTCAAATTCCACATATCCAGAAGCTTTTGAGCCCGATACCAGGGCCAAACTTGCCAAAGTTTTAGCCACCATTTCCATAATGGTAATGTCATTGGAGACCAATAAATTTCGCAAATACGAAGCAAATCTGCTAATCCTGGTTGCCACATAGACGACGTCCGCCCTGATTAGGCATACTATCACAAAAAAGAAGTGTTTTAGCTCGCTGGAGGCAACCAGTAAGCGTAAGTACTATCATAAGAGTCTAACTATTCGGCTGAAAAGCTTTTTCAAATTCCAACAATAAACAACATTGCACAAAATCGTAAAATGTTTTTTTAGTTTAATCAACTTTCAATTGGATGACACTCAACTGAGAATTTCATCGATTAAAGTAGTTTTTAAGCAACTATACAATATGTCTTAAGTTATCTACTGTAAGGGTAAAAAAGTGTATACCTATTTCTAAAACACAACTAATTCTACAAAAAGTGTACGTATAGTATTAAAAATATGTTATTGTACTTACCAATTGCTAAAATGCCTCCTTTCTTTTCATTAATATCATTACTAGACACCATTTCAAAAATATGATGATTAAATTCGTCTAAAAAAACCGTAATTTGTTCCGGAGTAGCATCTCTCAGGTCGTTCTTGACATAAACAAACAGTTCTTTAGCTGCTTGATTTCTCGTCTGCTCATTCTTAGATTTAAGATTGTTGACAAACTGATGCATAACAGTCAGGGACATGTTGCCGAATTATTTGCTCCTTCTGATGTTAAATATGTAGTTTATTGCTTAATAAGATCTAATTGCCATGATTTGAAAACTATCAACGACCTATTTAGCTTCCTTTTAAGTAAATGCATCTAAATAGCTATCTAAAAGATCTAATTGCAAATTTTATCTAACTACGTAGTTTTATATAGTATATTATAAATCCTCCTCGCACAAGTAGGTGGTCAAGTAACAAGTTAAAAAAGTCGAAGAAAATGTCGACGAATTACTATTTCACTTGAAATTACGTTTTAATGCTCTGCAACAAAACATTAGAATATTTTTGATTTATAGGTTAGTATTTATATTATCCAAACATCTTCAACAGCGCAGGTGTCAGATGTCAGTCAAGGTAGAAGTTCGTGAGAGTTAGAACCTAGAGATAGAGAAGAGAAGAGTTAGATAGAGTAAGTAAAATTTTACTTTCTCTATGGTTAGAACAGCACGTCCAAAAATCGGTTCCTAACCAGAGACAAGGGCGAGGATCCGATATAAATAAACGATAAAATAAAATTAAACATTGAAAATAATCGCTCGCTGGCGGCAGGAGGTTTTATGACATTTTACTTATAGTAAACTAAAATATATTAGTTTATTTTTTCAAGAATCTGGCCTGCTAGTTCCATCGAGTAAATCGGCATCCATCATATGCAAAACAACATACATAGATAAAGAGTCTTTATCATAGAGAAAGTAAAATTTATTATACTTTCTTTAATTACTTTACTTTAATTAATTACTTATTTTACTTACTCTATGGTCTTTATCTGGAAATTCCAGCTGACTGATTCCACAGCACCACAGCAGGAATTTGAATAAAGTGCGGCGGTGCTCTTTATATGTTCAGCGTTTATACTTAATCAAATTTCCCTTGCTTATAAAGCGACTGTTTTCGATCTACATTCATTTTTAAATTTGCGTAGAGGCATTCGAATATTTTCACATAGCGAGAACAGTAACATTTCACGGATTTACAATCGTTAAGTCAGGTTCCTAAGCGGCGTTGTCAAGCGTAAGTGCGTTTGACTCCTTTACAGCTGTTGACGTCGATGTCAAGTGACGTATTGTAAATTCCTGGAAGGTTTATAAAATCGCTTTGAATAAATTGGAATATTTTTCTCAATTATTTTCCTATTTGTCAGGGTTGATTACTTAAAATGGTAAGTAAGCCATGTATTTTGCAAGCTTGTACACTGCCATGCCAGGCAAATATGCCGAAAACGAAGGAAAAATGATACTAATTCTGTCACACCCATAATGACGACCAAAACACAAAGTAGTTGTCGGAACTATGATCTAGTAAAAATCATAAGTGTGTTTACAGGCATGAGTTGACTCACAAATGCCAAATTTAACGCAAAACTTTGCATATTTGTAGTTTTTTCCATGTTTTTTCATTGCAAAAACCTTATCTACTGCGCTACGTTATTTTCCAAATATGTATGTTTTAACGCAAAAACCCCTTAGGGTGATCAATTTGATTGCGCTCTGGACCTTATGAGGAGGCTGCCCCCCCAACAAATCGAGAAAAACCTCAGTGACTTGATCGATTTGGTACCTAGTTTATGTGAGGATCTCTTGTCTTCTGTTGACCAGCCCCTAAAGATCGCAAAAGATCAGGAAACGGGACAAGATTACGTTTTGTGCGACTACAACAGAGATGGTGACTCATACAGGTGATTCGTCAGGTAAACATTTAGTTGGTTTAATTTCCTGCTTCATCTATCTGTAGATCTCCATGGTCCAACACCTATTATCCTCCGCTGGATGATGGACAGATGCCCTCAGAGCGGCTCAGAAAATTGGAGCACGATGCCAACCTTGCTTTTGACCAGTATAGGGAAATGTACTTTGAAGGAGGAGTTAGTTCAGTGTACTTTTGGGACTTAGATCATGGCTTTGCAGGTCAGTTTGGATTTTTAAAACTTTTCATAATGGTGGTTGAATCTGTAGTTGCCCCATTGTTCAGGAGTGATATTAATAAAGAAAATCGGCAACGGGAGCAAGAAGATTAACGGTTGCTGGGATTCCCTGCATGTAGTGGAAGTGCAAGAGAAAAGTTCAGGAAGAACCTCCCATTACAAGATGACATCAACAACCATGCTGTGGCTTCAAACGAACGAAACGGGCTCTGGAACAATGAATTTGGGGGGCAGTTTAACCAGACAGGTAAGCATTGATGTGGCAATAAATGGTAACATTATTTTTTAATTAAAGTAATTGTCTTTTCTATTCTAGATAGAACAAGATGCGGTTGTAAATGAAAACAACTCGCATATTGTAAACATAGGTAAAATGGTCGAGGAAATGGAGAATAAAATCCGAAATACCCTCAACGAAATTTACTTCAGTAAGACAAAGGATATAGTAAATAGTTTAAGATCGGTAAGTTTGTGTAAAATAATTACAATTTACATTGGACAGTTTTTGGCACAGCTTGTTTGGTTTTTTAGGTTGAACCGCTGACTGATAGTAAACAGAATGAAATCATGAAACATCGCATTGAGTTGGCCAGTGTGTTGCAAAAGAGGCACAACAAATCAGATAATTGATGTTTACAGATTTGTGAGATAAATTATGGAGAAGAATTATAAATATCGCAGATCTATTCTATACAGATACTATACATTCAATATACCGCGTGCTAAGATTATTTAAGACAGTTTTAAGTCTTCAGATGGTTTATACGCTCAGCTAAGAGTTACGTATTTATTTATTTGCACACGAATTTCAGTTTTTATCTCCTTGGTTTGATTCAAACTAAAGAAGTGAATAAGCCTATAGCAGAAGAGAATGAATTCTATTATTAGATGGACATTAATTGGCATTAAATTATTAAAGTTGCACTGAAATAGTTGTATTGTATATTTTTAACAACTTTCTTTTATCTGATTATTCTGTGTTATTTGATAAAATATTTTTTATCATTGCATTCCTTTTTCATAAAAAAAAAACTTGGGTTTAAAGGTAAATTTTTTTGTGTCATGTATCAAATGTCTACGTTTGATGGCTTTCTGTATGTTTGTTAAATTACACTTTTACCATAATGTGTTTTTTTTTAAAGCAAAAAATGTAAAAATGAAACGCCGTTTAAAGCGTTTTTAAAACGCCCTAGATGCATTAGCAGATTCACTGTTTTGAATCCTTAAACATAGTGATTTGAATTGGAGTGTTTTGTAAAAAAACTGTAACATTAACTTTAATTTATCTAGATTTTTGCTGTATATCCTGAGAATAATAAATGTTTTAACTTTAATATAAGAACTGTGTGTGTTTTTTTCTTTCCTGGAAATGTTTTACTGTTGCGGAAAAAGTACTAATTGTAAGTTTTAACTGCCACCAGCAGTTTATAAATCGGGAGACCTTTAGAGACAAAGAGATTTTCTGGTTTATTGAGTCATACCACAATGTGACAACAATGCATTCGCACTTTGACTAGAGACGATTTGTTATACCTAACCCACAGATTATCAAACTGTTTAGATTGGCAACTCTAGTGATTTCGGCAAACCGCATTCAGTAGCGGCGTGGGCTGGTGATTAAACCGCCAAATTCAAATGTTATTCAAGTAACTTTATCATTAACATTTTTTTTTAAATGGCACCTACTATTTCTTGGTCCTGCGAGATTTTCAAACAGAACCAAAAACATCAGTACGTGCCATTTAAACGAACTTATTTTTTTTTCTTTTTATATCAATGTTTGTGGGCTGCAAGCACCAAAATGTTACAAAATGGGTACATTTATGCCATCCGGGGCGATAGCTTGGGTAACTACCTACCAAATTTGGGTAACACAGCTTTGTAAAAGCCTACATAGCTGATAAAAATATGACTACTAATCTCAAAAATAATTTTATGACAAACTCAGATGGCGCAGCATTACACTTCATATTTGTGCGGTTATTTATCATGACAAACTTGGACTCTTCGGTGAAATGTATGCCATACCCAAAACTTCTGTCGCTGATGTTTGTCGTTCACATCAATTAAAATTGTCGACGCCAGCGCTCCTGGTGGCGCGGGCACGCGTAACACCGATCTCAGGAATGTGGAGAAATGCAGTCCTGACCTTACAACTACTCGTCTTTATCCATGGACCTAACCCTAGTTTTCATATTGGTACTTGACAATCAATGTTTGTTTTTGATGCATTTAATCCATGATTTCAAACAATTTTCCTTGCAGTCCACAATAAATCACTAGAAGAATGACTACTCCGCCTGCGGCTTTAGTTAATCGAAATAAGAAACACTTTCTGGGGGTTCCAGCGCCTTTGGGATATGTAGCTGGAGTCGGCAGAGGGTGAGCGATTTTTCAGCTTACTCCAGCCCTACTATGAGGCATTGTGAAAAAACACATTTATATTTGCTGAAAACAGTTAGAAACATTCATGGATCTACTGTAACAAAATCCAGGAGTGTCTAACACTTTTGTACCCCATTCACTCTCATGATTGATGAAGTATACAGTGTTTCTTATATTTTAATTGTTTTTCTTTTATAGAGCTACTGGGTTTACCACCCGATCTGATATTGGTCCTGCTAGAGATGCAAATGATGTTTCGTAAGTATTTCCTGTTTTAAGTCTGCCCAATGGCTTTCACCCAGCGTAAACATGAACAATGATTTATTTCACTGATGTTCCAGAGATGATCGACATGCTCCTCCTGCCGCAAAGCGCACCAAGAAAAAGGAGGAGGAAGAAGAAAAAGAGGTATGCTCATTGCTGTGCCTAACATTAATCCTCAAATTGTTTTCTAAACTATATATTTGAAATGGTAGGACGAGGAAGATTTGAACGACTCGAATTACGATGAATTCAGCGGATATGGAGGATCTCTTTTCTCCAAAGATCCCTATGATAAGGATGATGCTGAAGCGGATGCAATTTACGAAGCCATCGATAAACGAATGGATGAAAAACGTAAGGAATATCGAGAGAAACGTCTTAGGGAAGAGTTAGAAAAGTATCGGCAAGAGAGGCCGAAGATTCAACAGCAATTTTCAGATTTGAAAAGGGACTTGATTCAGGTAACAAAAACAATCAGTTCAATAAGGCTTTTGTACTTTATTAACTTGAATATATTCATTGCAGGTGTCCGAAGACGAATGGCGTCATATTCCTGAAGTGGGCGATGCAAGAAACAAAGACCAACGAAATCCAAGACGAGAAAAATTCACTCCTTTGCCTGATAGTGTGTTATCGCGAAATTTAGGTGGCGATGCCACAACCAGCATTGATCCCAGTTCAGGGTTGGCTAGTATGGTTCCTGGAGCAGCAACCCCCGGTATATATAAAATTGTGTGATATGAAATAAACTTCAGCTAACTATCTGTTGTGTTGTTTTCAGGAATGTTGACGCCAACCGGAGACATGGATTTGAGGAAAATTGGCCAAGCCAGAAATACGCTCATGAATGTGAAACTATCCCAGGTAAAATAATATTCTTCACACATAAAAACAGTCCTTATCAAAAGCCCAATAACGGATCTGTTTTAGTTTGTTTTTTGGATCATTAGTTTTTATAATTTTTTATCATTTAGGTGTCTGACTCAGTAACAGGCCAAACAGTTGTTGACCCTAAAGGATACTTGACTGACCTGCAGTCAATGATCCCTACATACGGGGGCGACATTAATGATATAAAAAAAGCCCGTCTTCTACTGAAAAGCGTGAGGGAAACCAATCCCAATCATCCACCGGCTTGGGTTGCCAGTGCCCGGTTGGAGGAAGTAACCGGGAAAGTACAAGCTGCAAGAAATCTTATAATGAAAGGTAATTAACACGAAATATATTTGTTTGTTTATCTGGTGTTCTTCGGTCTTTATCTTTTTTTTCGTTAATAATTAGATCATTAATTTTCTCTATTTATTTCAGGTTGCGAAGTGAATCCGCAGAGTGAAGACCTTTGGCTTGAAGCGGCTAGATTGAACCCACCGGATACCTCAAAAGCTGTTATAGCGCAAGCAGCAAGACACATTCCCACATCAGTAAGATTTTTTAATAATAACTGGAGAACTATGATTCAAGTTTATTTTTTTATTTATTACATTTGCCTAATTTTCAATTCCATTAGGCCCGGATCATTGGTTCGGCTTAAAGATGAACCTATTTTTTTAGGTACGAATCTGGATTAAAGCCGCCGACTTGGAATCTGAGACCAAAGCCAAAAGAAGGGTTTTCCGTAAAGCTCTGGAACACATTCCAAATTCTGTGCGGCTTTGGAAGGCCGCAGTAGAACTGGAAAATCCTGAAGATGCAAGAATTTTGCTCTCCAGGTGAGGTCGAAAATTTAACAAAAGGACTACTAATATTACAGCTTGTATTTTTTAAACGTTACTTAGAGCTGTTGAATGTTGTCCGACAGCAGTAGAATTGTGGCTCGCCTTGGCACGATTGGAAACATACGAAAATGCAAGAAAAGTGTTGAACAAGGCCAGAGAAAACATACCGACAGACAAGCAGATTTGGACTACCGCCGCTAAACTGGAAGAAGCTAATGGAAACCATCATATGGTGGAAAAAATTATAGAGAGAGCAATTTCATCTCTAAGGTAATTCAATGCGGAGGCTTTTATGTGCATTTTATTCTATTCATTTTCATCATCATTTCAGTTCAAACGGTGTGGAGATTAATCGCGAGCAGTGGTTTAAGGAAGCAATAGAAAGCGAAAATGGTGGCCATATTCATTGCTGCAGGGCGATAGTTAAAGCCATTATTGGGTATGGCGTTGAACCGGAAGACCAGAAGCATACTTGGATGGAAGATGCTGAAAATGTAAGATGTTTTTATTCAAACCGTTCAATTTTACAATAAGGTTTTTTTCTAGTGTACTACTCAAGGGGCGTATGAATGTGCCAGGGCGGTATACAATATCTCATTAGCAGCATTTCCAGGAAAGAAATCAATTTGGTTGCGCGCAGCTTATTTAGAAAAGAACCACGGGACTAGGGAGAGCCTGGAAAGTCTGCTGCAGAGGGCCGTAGCGCATTGCCCGAAAAGCGAAGTAAGTTAACGACAACAGTTTTTATTCCAATTTAATGCCATTTCTTGTATTTAGGTGCTTTGGCTTATGGGCGCCAAAAGTAAGTGGTTAGCTGGCGACGTGCCGGCAGCCAGAGGCATTTTATCACTAGCTTTCCAAGCTAATCCAAACAGTGAGGAAATCTGGTTGGCGGCCGTTAAACTTGAGTCGGAAAACAAGGAGTATGAACGAGCCAGGCGACTTTTGGCAAAAGCAAGAGGTAAAAACGATTAAGTTGTGAACATTTTCTGGTTACTTAAGCAAATAAATTATAGGATCTGCCCCAACACCGAGAGTCATGATGAAAAGTGCCAAACTTGAATGGTCCTTAAACGACTTGGATGCTGCCCTGACGCTGCTCGATGAGGCAATCAAAGTTTTTCCAGACTTTCCCAAACTTTGGATGATGTACGGGCAGATATACGAGCAAAAAAGCGACCTTACCAAGGCCTTTGAAGCGTATAATTCTGGGGTAAGTGAGTGATCCCCAAAAATCGACATTGTTCATTTATTTTTCCAAAACTTATAGATTAAAAAAGCGCCAAGTTCGATTTCTTTATGGTTGCTGCTGTCACGCCTGGAAGAAAAGCGAGGTTTGTTGATTAAGGCGCGGTCAGTGCTAGAAAAAGCCAGATTGAAAAACCCGAAAAACGACTATTTATGGATGGAGGCGATCAGAGTTGAGCTCCGCGCCGGTATGAAGGAGATAGCAAATTCGATGATGGCAAAGGCCTTACAGGAATGTCCCACCTCTGGCATTTTATGGGCTGAGAGCATTTTTATGGAACCCAGACCTCAGAGAAAGACAAAATCGGTAAGTTACTCCGCTTCAAAATAGACCAACTTAATAGTGAAATTTTTTGGATCTTAGGTTGATGCTCTTAAAAAATGCGAACACGATCCTCACGTGTTACTTGCAGTTAGTAAACTGTTTTGGTCCGAAAGGAAAGTCAGTAAGTGTAGAGAATGGTTCCAAAGGGCTCTGAAGTTAGATCCTGATTTGGGTGATGCATGGGCCAATTGGTAAGCGCTATTTTCAAACTATTTATAAACATTCATCAATATTTAAAGTTCCTAGTTTTTTTTAAATTGAACTCGTATTGTTACAGGTACCGTTTCGAACAATTACATGGAACAAAGGAGAAACAACAGGAAGTAAAAGAGCGATGTTTGGCCGCTGAACCGCACCATGGAGAACTGTGGTGCAGCGTTTCGAAGAATATCAAAAAAGTCGGATGGAACACCGAACAGATTCTAGTGGCTGTCGCCAAAGAGGTTCCTATACCGATATAACAAAGTAATTTTAATGAGGCTTAAAAAATACAAGTTTATAGTTGATTGAAGTAAATTGTCACGAATTTCACATGAAATATTTTATTTATTCCACTGACTACTCTGAACGATTATAAAAACTAAGTTACAAAATACACAATGTATATTTCTACATAAAAGACCTGTACACTTTTTGTCCTAAAAATAATAGAAATACACAAACTTACTTTATAGAAAAATATATAGCACTGTTTCAATTTTTTATGGAATGTAACGCGGTAACAAAAAATAATGTATGTTGTTCTATTGTTCAATTTGTTTAAACGCAAATACGATTATTGGACGCAACTACTTACACGTGTAAGCTATTTTTAAATAAAATTACGAGCAACTAATGAACTCCCAATGGAAAACTGACGATTAAAATTCTCCCGTATTGTTTAAGATTCATTACATCTATACCTTCAGTTAATACCAGTCTTAATTTAGGGAAATAGTTCAAATTCAACCAAATATATGCTTCGTAAACTATTTCCATGCTCAGTTAAGTTGGTCATCGCATCAAAGCATCTTACTGAACATAGAAGCAACGCTCAACAAATTCCAATAAGTTTCTAATAAAATTATTATTTGCAACATTATAAAGATATATCGTTAAGTTTCCTTAAAAATTAAAAAAAAAACATTTATCTAATTTTTATCTACAATTGAAAAATACCCTTTTGGCTTAACCACAACAAACAAAGCGGTTAAAAGAAATTAAAACGTGTATAGTAATGCAACTATACGAGTTACAGTTTGTACGTGGAAAAGTTGGAAGTCCACACATTTAAGCTGATTCTGTGGAGAATGAAAAGGAGAACCATTTGGAAAAACCATATCAAGAAAAAATAATGCGACATTTACACTAAAAAATATCGGTAAATATTTACATTTGTGTATATTTGGTTTAGTCACCAGCGTTTTGAAATCCAGCCAAATTAAAATGATGATTAGGTAATTAGGGCTACGACTGCCTTCGAGGTTCGAATAAAAGTACTTTACCAATCTAAATTAAATTAAAATTGCCAGTTTATTCATCTGAATTATTATTTTCACTGCAGCTACAGATTTTTTTACTACAGATATGTATTTAGATGTTGGTATTTTAGCTCTTCCGCGAAGCAATTCTAATAAATAAACCGACAACATATCACACTATAAAGAATATAATACTTTTATTTACAGATCCCAATAGTAGAAACCGAGAAAGTGTGTTTTTAAGTAAAAAAATCACCACATTAAACTAATAAGGCAAACAGTGGCTACTTTGTCGTTTTGTACTAATACGATCCTAACAGTTTAGTATACCTGATTATCAGATATCAGTCATCTTCTTGAATCATAGAGTGGTAACCTTGCCTGCTTGAAGACGGTTGCAAGAGAGGTGATGTGACAGATGGTTCGCCTGATCTTTCCACAGAACCGCTGGCGAACTGCATACGCGTCGCAACGGTCGCGATTTTCTTCTTTTGCGTCATCAGGCCTAGAAAAAACAAGTTTTTATTCAACAGTCAACAGATGGTGCAATTAGAAGAAAGTCGACTGAGTTCAGTGGTAGAGCACAACATACATTATTAGCACACAAAAATGCGACCAGAAATATTTCAAACATTCTTCATTTATCAAAAGAGATAGACTTTCGAGGCCATTCCTTGAAACTAATGGGTTTTTTTTTGCTTGCAACGCAAACCACTTCTGAAGATGCAAGTCCACTCGTGCTTGCGAAACGTCAAGAAGAAATTCTACCCAACGACGGCCTAAAAACCCGAAAAACCCATTAGTTTCATTCTTCATTTAGATGGAGAACGTGTTTGGTAAGTCCCTGTGTACAAACGGTTTGCTGATTGGAATTTTGCAAATATTTCTGGCGTTGCATCAATAGTTTCCTTTGCTAGTATATTAGTAACGAGTCAAACATGCATCTTTTTCATCACAACTGGCAAAGCCAAGCAATGAGATTTATCAAATAGCAGTAGCAAATGCAAACGTGGAAATAAATACTTGAGCAGCTTCGTTCAAAAAGTATTAATTTAACAATGAATTTGTTTAGGTGCAATATTGAAAGAGAGTCTATGCTAAATTCAGAGTAAATAGTAGTAGTGTTTTTTTAAGAAATAACATTTAGGAACCCAACTGAAAAGTTCCAAAAGAAGGTTTTAGAGCAGGTACAAAACGAATTTCGAAGAACAGCCAATATTCTTCATTAACTTTCATAGTTAGGTTTGCTAAGTTAGACTGGTGCACGAAAAATTTCATAATTTATCAATTACTAAAAGCATGTGCGCATTACGGTGCTTCTAATCTACCTAAACATAAAAAAACTACTAAAGGTGAATCAGAGAAACTAAATGAAAACTATCTACAAAGCGAAATACAAAAGAAAGAAAAGACAAAAAATCCTTACTCTGCCGAAATGTGTTTCCTGGAAATGCTGCCCGTTTAAATTCCTGTGCTTGGCCAATTTCTCTTTATTCATGGGGCTTCCTGCGTTCAAAAGATTGTCATGGGTCAAATACAGGTACACCACTTATACAACAGTCTGTTCAAATATATACAATACCTAACGCTAATCATTATATTGTCGGGAAAATGCATACAACATAGTTTTGCCAGAAAAAAATAACTTGCGAAATAAACTAATGAAAATATAACATTAGTTTCACATACATTCAATTTTCTAACTAATACATGAGTTATTAGTTGTAAATGTAACGCAAGCAAACCCAAAAAATGAAGCAAAATTTTGGGGAAAACCAGTTTTCTTCTACAATGCAGAGCAAAAATTATTTTGCCTATCTTAATCCAATTGGTTAATGCAGTTCAAAGTATTGTCCACTTAAGGCACGAGTGAATAATAATTAAAATATTTTGATAGAATCTACTTTGAACCACATTAACAATAGCACAAAATAATGTGTAGTTAATTGCAAAAGTTTTGATACTTGAAAAAAATCAGACTAAATATTAATAGATCAAAATGTGCATGCGGGTAAGTAGCCCCCAATTATAAAGTAGATAAAAACATATGGTTGAAATGTTAGCAAGCAAATATATATAAACGCACACGTTATGCAGTAAATTAACATTATTACAAACATCAACAGAAAACTTTTTTAGCAAAAAAATCACATTTTTCTAGTGTAGTAAGTTGTTATTAATGTAATTGAAAAGAAATCCCTGCACTAAATAAGCAGGAAAAACCTTGATCTTCGGTAGCGGATGTGTGTAGAGATATCAACAAACAACCCAGTTTGATTATAAAAAAAATGATGCAAAAAGCAATAAAGCCAAACTACTACTTCCTACTGAGCAAACAGAGTGACTTACCAATAAAACTGAGTAAAACGGGCAAAAATATCAGCCCATGAGCGGCTCCAAACAGGACAATTCCTAGGTACATTCGGAAATAGAACACTTGGAAAATCTGCGATTTGGCGAAGTACAGCACAATAATTCCTCCGAACTTTGTCAGCGTAATACCGGAAAAGATGGAGCTGCCCATTTTCGCCAAAGCGTCGGCCGCTCTATCCACTCTGGTCGTTTTCACTGACATGGAGAAACTGTGTACCAAGTGGGAGCAGAATTCCACGCTAATTCCCACAGCCATTACCAGATTGACTAACGACACTGCGTTCAGAGTGATGTGCCACCAGTACATCAAGCCGCCGAGATTCACCAGAATCATCGTGATTGTGATCAGTACCACGATACTGGAGAATATATCTAATCCCATCAGGAAGAAGGTGGCGAGGAATATGGCAAGGAGAGAGATTCCAAGGCTTTGTAACGTATCGGGCCACATGGTGAGATACTGTTCGTAGAACACGTAAAACACTGAGTATGGGAACACCTCAACGCCAACCTAAACAGAAGGATATACACTACTCAGATGGACATTTCAATAAATCGGGATTGAAGCGTGTTTCGAATAAATTCTTGTACGCACCGATTTGGTAAGATTGGCTGATATAGTCCTAGCTTTGCGCATGCTTTCGTAGTAGTCTGCTGACGTTTTCAGTATACTGTGGTACGACATAAAGTAGCTGGCGCCCACGTTAGACAGATTCGTTTTCCTATTGGACGCATAGTTAACAGCATGACTGTAAGCGGCGTGACCTGCCTTTGCGCACGTTGCGTCCGGATTGTCCTGAAGGAAGAACGAGATGTATCGCTCAAACTCTTCAGGCTTTGGCCGGTGTGTCCTGTTGTTTAGGGCGATACCACACGCTTGACATTGTGCTGAAACAATTAGAAAAATCTAATAAGTCGACCATTCAATAAAGCGATTTTCTGTTGCTCAACAATGTTACAGATTTGTATGGGAATTGACAAACTTACGGTCGTAACTTTCATGTGGACAAAATCCGCCATCAGCTACACGTTTTTTGCAACAGCTCTCAATGGCCGTCCAGTCAATGTAATCGTCCAACCAGCTGCTGCTTGGCTTGGCAATATATGTGTTTTCCGGATCTTTGCTCGCCATGTACACTTGGGTGATCAGTGAGTCCACATTGCAATACTGTCCGCCGCACACTAAATTCTGGTCCTTAAACTCCGAGTAGTTTAGTCCATTCTTCACTACGAAATACATTGGCGGTCCGATGCTTAGGTAGTCTTTCAGGAACTTGAAGTACTTCAACACAAAAGAATCTTCAGGCATGGACAGTTCTTGGTCTAAACCGATTTCTATGTGCGGCACCACGGCGATCGAGGAACATAACCAGCCGAAGAAAACGATCATTATGAGCACTCTCATTGGCTTTTTCATAATGAAGCCCACGTAGACTGACTTAAAAAACGTAAATAATAAACCTTCTTGACTGGTCAGATTGTCTGGCTCGTTCTTTTTGGACCCTCGCAAGCAGCAGAATATATCAAATCTGTAACATGACGGTAATTTTATTTAGTTTTGTTTACTTGCAAGAAAAATTAGCACTTACCTGTTGGAGTTCTGTCGAATAGTGTCCAAAGACAGCAAACTAACAAAGCAGGTAATTTGGAAAATGAAATCGAAAAGTAGAGCCATTCCAGCATAGAGGGCGAAAGCTCGTACGGCTGGCATGTCTGATAAACTGCCCAAAAAGAAGCAGGAGCTTTCAGAAACACTTGTCAACAGCATGCTTGGGCCAACTTGGCCTAAAGTACGGCCGATGTGCTGAGCGTGGGTTTCTCCCGGCTTCTTAACATCGCGCTGATGGGTTTGCACTGAAATTGCAAAATATTCTCACTCAATTCAACCGCACATGCATGCTACCACTCTTACCTAAGATAAAGATATTATCCACTCCGACTGCGAGCACCAAAAAGGGAATCACTTCAATGATGATCAGAGTAGCTGGAGTGCCGACAAATCCAAATAATCCTACAGAAGACACCACAGAGGCCAAAACGATGATGACTCCTCCCAAACCAAGCGTAATTTTACTGTCAATAAGCAGTCGGGAGCAGCTGTTAACTTGGCCGAGGGAAACGGCGATGTACGCGAACATAATCAAGTAGGAAATCAATATGGTAATTACATCTCCTTGAGACTCCCGATCTAATTCATCCTCAATCGATCTCTCACTAGTGAACGCGATATCCATGTACTGCGAAACATTGCTCTCAGTGTAATTTTTCATGAAAGCTACAAAGTGCTTTTCCCATTCCATGGCGGCAACAATTTTCGATTTGTTATGATAGTTGTTGACCAAGAAAGTCAAAATAACTGCTGTGGCATCTTCATATTTGGGGCTTTTCGGCAAGTTTTCCCCCGATTTTAGAAAACCTCCAAATGCAATTGCAGGATCAACCGGTCCTCCATATAAGGCAAAACAATCTGTATTGTAAGGATTGCTAAAACAAACAAAAAATAATTAACGTTGTTCAATTAAATAAAACACTTTGATACTTACGACATGCATTTCAACAAAGCGTCTAAATAATTGATTTGAAAGTGATCTGGATCCGTTCCGGTTTCTTCAAAAGTTTCGATACTATCCTGGAAATATCCCCAAACGCTTTGAACCGCGCACTGATCCAGCGACGCTTCATCCTCATCAGTTCTCAAAGGTGCAAAGCAAATATTTTCGTACGCATAGTCAGTACCCCCTCCAATGGCCTTAATTCTCTCTTGAAGGTCCAGCACCTCCAACAGGAAGGTGTCGTTGAATGCGGGCCCGAACGTGACATTGCCTAGTGAAGTTGGATGAATAATAGACTTCAGATTTTTCGCTCGGATGATGACCTGTTCATTTCGGTAGAACGGGTCAAAGTGGGAGTCGAAATATTCTTTTTCTACACGACTGCGAGACGATGGACTGGCCCACAGTTCTACGGGATCAGTAGTGACCTAAAAACAAAACAGTAATTTAACAAAATTACACAAAACGATTGTTGCGTAAATAACGTCCATAAATACAACGCATGAAAATAGTCGACATCGAATATATTATTTAGGGATGCGTTTTAATATAGTTTCATCTTATTAATAATGTTCATGTAAATAATATGGATCTATCTCTAATAATTGGTTTCTTTCTGGCCCGGATTCTACATAATGGGAAATGTAAGTTAACGCGCAAAGTGGATGGTGTTTATTGACTCCAAAAAAATCGGACAAATAGTACCGCTTTCAGCATCGACCATTAGAGTCTAAGATGCCGCTAAAAAATCGAAAAAAATCAACTTGACACAAACTTTTACCGAACAGAAAGAATGAAAAAAAATAAACAATACCTTTAAATATTTGATGCCATGACCCAAGGCGACAATCACACAGGTACCAAAAAAGAGAACCAACCATGGCCTTTCCGCGCAAAAAGTGCCCCATTTCTCGAAGAATTTCTGCAGGCAAGAGTCGGTATTTGCCCCTAATCTGAAATGAATACACATTGTATTTTATTACACTGAAAATTAACCAAAATTTATTTGTATTATACCTTTCAATAAATGACGAGGGGGTGTCATACTCTCCGGGTACTTTGCTAACTGAGTGCATGTCCATTTCATGTTCAAGCTCAGAAGTGATACCTATCAGAAAAAATATATTGAAATCTTTCTTCATGTTAGATTCTGGTGTGGAGAAATAGTAGCAATCCATTCACCCTAAGAAACGTATTCTTCATCCATGCATGTAAAATTACTCTAGTATCCACATCTGTTCTGATCCGAAACAACTTTCTTTATGTGTTTTTTGCCACCAGACGCTCGATTTTCCAATCATCTAAACTCAACTACTCTTTCAAAGCATGTACGCAAATAAAACCATCAAAGTAAGTTAATGTTAACCAGGAACCTTGAATAGTGAAGGCTCTTTAAAAATTTACATTTTAAATTCTAACTTACGATTTGTGAAACAAATCGAATAAAACTATGCTGGTTCATAAAAAATCAATGCAAAATTGATGTATGTATATTGAAATGGGCGCCAAAATCAATTCAACCACCATTAAGCTGCAGGCAGCAGAAAATCTCCAGGCCAGATGTGGATAAATCATAATCATAAGCTCGTGCACCATCGCCCGTTATCTAATTGCACATGTAGGAGAAAAATGCCGTAAAAGTGTTTTCAGTTTAACATCCTTAGAAAAAAACGATTTCAAATGGTGAATATACGACAGTATTCTTCCAGACATGCAAGATCTGTTGAGTTTTTCATGCTTTTAAGCCGCCGTGAATCAGAATTTCTTCCTGACGTTTCGCAAGCACGAGTGGCTTGCAACTTTAGAGGTTTGTTCGCTTCGGGCGCGAACACACCTCTGAAGTTGCAAGCCACTCGTGCTTGCAAAACGTCAGAAAGAAATTCTGATTCACGGCGGCTTAAAAGCATGAAAAAACAACAGTTTTCCGCAATGGTGGCGAAAGTCTAAATGTTTTAATGCGAGTGTTTGTTAGAACCACATTTTTAGTGCTACTGTTACTACTACGTGCAACCATTAAAACCAACCACCATTGGTGAGTACTCTCCACACCCAATTCGTTCATTCTCTCGTAAATTGAGTAAAGTTTTAAGAGGTTTTAAGAGGTTTGTAGTCAAAACCAAAGTGTTTGTGTCGAGTGTTTCTTAGTGAAAAAACAGAGCAACTCCAACCACTTGGGACTGGTTAGTGTTGAAGATGATCTTGGACGTACTAGATCTGTGACTGCTCTGTAGGGGACTGTTCTCGCCTGCGCTCGCGTCTCCCAGTGCCACTTGGGACGAGTGAAACTCGGCAGAGGCGAGACGTCGACCGACCGCAGCGCGCATCTCTTCGGACCCTTGACCAACCAGACCAACTATAAGAAAAAGACACCCAGAGTTAAAGACCGGAACCACAACCCCACTCCATGTTATCGCATAATGCGGCTTTGCCCGTGCTCCAAACAAAAAAACACTGATGCTTAGATTCCTAATTAGTATTTAGCTGTTAGATAAAACTGGTAAAGGATCAGGCCAAAATCGCGTGTGTCCAGAACAACAATCCTCTTGTCAAATGCATTCTTATTCTGATTACGAAAAAGCATATAAGCGACTGTTCTAGCGCAGTTGCTATTCATCTGGTCGACTACATTGGATAAACGAGGGGAGAACAGACATCCCCGGTGGAAACTGCTGTTTTTATAACGTTTGAAACCGTAAAAACTGATAATTTTCCAAGCAATACAAATTTCAATCAACAAAGGTATTAATTGCCATGTGTAAATATTTAAATGCGCAGTTATGACTGACATTGAACTTTACTGTACAGTTGATTACACACCAAGTTGCACTAATCATCCTCGAGTTTTTTTCCATTAATTTAGTTAACTTATTTTGGCCACGTACTTTATAACTCGGGTCAAAAAAATCGCATTCAAAACGCCGATTTAATTCAACACACAATTTTTTGGTAAAAACAATGGCATTTTGCTGCGTATTGCACCTCAAATTTTTCCAAAAACACGCACTCAGAGCAATTTTGTACTTTTTTTGATAAATAAGAAGAGCACTCTTCATCAATCTGTACTAGAAGACGTGCGGAAAATCTATCGTTTTAAAAAACAAAAGTTTTGAGCCAAAATACCCAATAATAAAGTTTTGAAAACATGAGTTTGCCTCATTCATATAGAACTTATCGGCGCAATTCCCTCCTGTAGATAAACCGTGGCAATTGAAATGGAGAAAGGCAATAAAACTTTATATACCTATAAACATTTGAGCATAACCACTGGGTCAATAAAAATGAGTGGGAAAATAACATTAACAATCTTTTAACACACAAATGAAAAGCGGCAGACATACGAACATACGCAAAGTTAAATCCACGTCGCTCTCCTTTTTAAATCAACGACATTTGCAGTAGTTTTATTCACTTTTTCCGATGCAAATCACATACAATAAGAGAGAGAAGTGGATTTGGTCAACAACAAGCGTCACGACGGCACGGTACCTTGACTAACGTCGGCGTCATTATCCAATTCAACATCCGACAAAACGTCAGGGACACATTCGGGTTCATTTATCAGTCTGACATCTGTTAAATATATTTGCTATTGTTAAACAACACACTTCACAAACCTTTTTCACACCTACTTTTAGCTATCAAGCCTAGTTAGTGTGATAATGCAAAATGAGCTAAGAAGTAACTAGGGAAAACATATTTTCTCAAATCTGCTTCAGTTTTCTTTTAACAAACTGCAAGTTAATTCCCGAATGTGTAGAGGTTCGACAGAACCTGATAAGAATATACTTCGTAATATAAAACTTCCAAGTTGCACAATTTACAGTTCCGGAGGTATTGCCGGATGGTAACTTCACCAAGACACTCTGTATATGGTTTCAACACAAAATTGCATTTTTGAATTGAAATATGAACGTGATCAACCATACTGGTGCGATAAGCTTTACATAAGTGCCGCGAGCAGTGGAAAAAACTTCATATAGCAATGTTAACCTGTGTAAAGTCCTAAAGTTATGGACAATTGAGTCGAATAAGATTCAATTAATTTGACGAATAACAATAGAGAGAACAATTTACTCTTTATGGAATAGTTGCTATACTGATGGACTGATGAATAAATTTGAAGCATATACTTTTCTCCACATACATTGAATTCCTCAATCACCCCAGTTTGAAACAAAAAAAACCGCCGATTCAAATAATATTCAACAAATTCCCTCTGCAATTATCTAACCGATTAAAAAACCTTAAAAAGTGTACTCTTGTTATTTAACATCATGCACATAGCGCGGAACCAGACCATAAAACGTGCCACATGAAAAAAACACAACTGCTGAACCCATAACCAATTCCTAGTAAATGGGGAAACTTACCAAAAGTTCTGCCTGCCGAACACATAAAAACGGTGAGCAGAAAAACGATGGATCCGATAACGAAAACCACCAACATGAGAAAACTCATGCCCTCGAAACCTGCTATATGGAAGGGTTGGGGTTTGGGCGGATCTGGGGGAGGCACTGGACAACTATCTTCACAGTCCACACAACTACATGCTGGTGTATCACTCTAGAAAAAAACAATAGTTTGTTTTTATTCAAGCAAATACAAAGCTAAAACTTCTGGATTGTTCTTTACTGCTCAATGTCGATAGACCAGCTGAAAAGGGCCTCAGTGAAAAAGTGCTTTTGTGGAAAAAAATCCAGTTTTTACCACATTTTCAAACAAAAACTTCCGTACTTAAGCATATAGGAATGCTAATTTAGGGTCAAGCTTTTATGGCTCATTTCGGTTTAAAAGCAAAGTTTAACGGATTTTTCTAAATATGTGTGACATTTTCCATCAAGAAATAAACGTACCAACTGGAGGGATTTTAATGGGTTTTATCTTATCGTTTTCGGCAACACAATAAAATATTTTGCGTATTTGGGTCATTAAAACTATTGACGTTTTCCAAAATAATTATTATTGCATTAGTTAGTAATCATGCTTTGTATTTCAGTGCCATTAACTACAATTGAACTTAATGTGTAATGTGAACATTGATGTAAACATTTCCGATAGTTAATGCTTAATAAAAGGAAAACTTTAAAAGTTTCCCACCTGAAAATCTGAACGATGTTTACAAGAAACACCGCATCCAGTAGCATGTTTTGGAGTGGTTCCAAGCTGGTCTATTTCAGAATCGATACTACGTGATAAACAATGATTTACTGTGCTAAATAAACCACCAGAAGAAACTTACATTTAACGGTTTATTACAGGGAGTAATTTCTATATCCATCGGTGTAAAGTTGCCCACTTTTGCTGTAGTTGAGTTGATGTAATTGATCTGGAACGGTACATAAACACTGTTGTTTCCAGCGGTTCCCATGTAGGTGAACCATCGATTTGCGGTGCATCTGAGCGCACCCCAATCGCCACACATAAAATCCATGGCCAGCTGCCCGGTGGCTGGTACTGAAACCTATAAAAACCCATTAGTGTTCACACCATCAACACGACCAAACGCGTTTACCTGCTGGCAGGAGTTGTACGTTTTATCCATATATTGCTGGGTAATGTAATAGTCCACTTCCGTTATATATGTGACATTAGTCTCAGTATCAGTATTGTTCTTTTTGATGTCCATGAATGTTGATTGGTGAGGCGAACAGGTCAGTTGGCAGATGCTTTGCACGAGATTCGACATGCAACTTGGACATCTAGAAGAAAAATCATGATCAGCTTAAATCATTAAACCAGAGATGAAAATTAATTTTGCAAAACCAATGTGATTTATTTAAATTTCGAGAAAACTAACTTGTGGTTCCAACATATACTTTTACCTAGTCAATAGAGTCTCTAGTGGTTTACCTTTTTAAGAAATTGGCAGCCAATGCAATGCTACTATCCATGGTTCGTAGTTGGGCATCATCGCAGCACACGCTGCTGGGATCCATAGTTGGACAGTACTTTTTCAAAATTTCAGCCCCCGAAGTGTTCAAGGGCTTCGCAGGTCCATCGTAGGGGCAATTTTGCGCAAGTGTGCCCTGATGATGGCACTCACCATACCAAACGCAATGGCCTCGCGATCCTGGTACATCTGTACGACTGATGGACGTATTGTTTTGAGCGGCATAAACCTGGAATTTCAAAATAACATTATTATTTGCGTAGTAAACGCAGGTGTGGAAATGGAAGGTTTTATTCAACTGCACGCTCTTTTATCAAAATTCAAAAACTCTCCATTCAGAACAGCTAGCAATTCGAAATTCGCACACCCTATAGAACCCATTTCGCTCAAAAAACCCTGTGAATTTCATTTAAATTGCCCAAAAATTTGATTCGTGCGCGCCTTGTAAACGCAGGTGTAGAAATGGAAGATTTTATTCAACTGCACGCTCTTTTTTTCAAAATTCAAAATTGTGCATTCAGAGCAGCTGGCATTTTGAAATTCGCAAACCCCGTAGAAGACACTTCGCTCAAAAAACGCTGCAAGTTTCATTTAAATCGACCAAAATCTGATTCGTGTGCGATTTGTAAACACAGTTGTAGAAATGGAAGGTTTCGCTCAACTGCAAGCTCTTTTTCAAAATTCAAAAACTCGTCATTCAGAGCAATTGGCATTTTGAAACTCACACACCCTATAGAAGACACTTTGCTCAAAAAACGCTGAAAGTTTCATTTAAATCGACCAAAAATCTGATTCGTGTGCGATTTGTAAACACAGTTGTAGAAATGGAAGGTTTCGCTCAACTGCAAGCTCTTTTTCAAAATTCAAAAACTCTTCATTCAGAGCAATTGGCATTTTGAAACTCACACACCCTATAGAAGACACTTCGCTCAAAAAACGCTGCAAGTTTCATTTAAATCGACCAAAAATCTGATTCGTGTGCGATTTGTAAACACAGTTGTAGAAATGGAAGGTTTCGCTCAACTGCAAGCTCTTTTTCAAAATTCAAAAACTCTTCATTCAGAGCAACTGGCAGTTTGAAATCCGCACACCCTATAGAAGACACTTCGCTCAAAAAGCGCTGCAAGTTTCATTTAAATCCACCAAAAATCTGATTCGTGTGCGATTTGTAAACACAGTTGTAGAAATGGAAGGTTTCGCGCAACTGCAAGATCTTTTTCAAAATTCAAAAACTCTTCACTCAGAGCAATTGGCATTTTGAAACTCACACACCCTTTAGAAGACACTTTGCTCAACAAACGCTGCAAGTTTCATGTAAATCGTCGAAACATCTGATTCGTGCGCGTTTTGTAAACGCAGATGTAGAATTAGAACATTTTATTCAATTGCACGCTCTTTTTTCAAAATGCAAAACTCCACATGCAGAGCAGCTGGTATTTTGAAATTCGCACACCCTGTAGAAGACACTTCTACAGGGTGTGTAATTTTCACAATTTGCCTCTTGCATACTTAATGAGTATGAAAATATTCAAAACATGCAAGATGTCTGGCGTTCAAAAAAAAACATAAATCCTTGAACTGAAAAAACATTGTCCTCTTTTAACCGAAATGAATAAATGCTGTTGAGTCTGAATTTTCCAAACCACTAAAAATAGGAACCAAGAAACGCAAATAGCATCTCATGATATATTAATGTTTTCAAGAGCGTGTCGGATTAAAAGTTAAAAATAAACCTCGGCGAGAAGTTTATTTCAGGTTATGCATAGTAAAACAGCGGACCTAAAAACAAAGGATCCTGACTGCTCCAGAACCATCTAAATAAAATATGAGTTTCCAAAATAATTCGAGTGAATCGACCGTTAAGCAATACGCAAAGTTCCGGCTGCATTAACCATTAACCGCAAGCAGGGAGTGAACAAACGAAAATTATATACACGATATTTGACTAAAAAGCTAATGATAATTTTTTTTCTGAAATAAAATTTATTTTTCATGTGTATAAAACTCGCTACTAGTGGGAATCTCGGGTAAACCAGAAAATAATTTGGACAAATGATTTTTTTAATAAACAGTATAAAATAGTTATTGTTTGTGTCATCCTTTAACATATACACATTTGGAAACCGTCTTAAAATAGCCTTTTCTACGCACGTTTAATTAATGAATCGATTGTTTTCCTCTCGGGAACAGAAAGGAAGTATTGAAATGAAGCTCACGAAAATAGCGAAAACCGAATCTAAATTTACTCGGACAACACGAGCAAGTGAACAACAGGAAAATATTATTGACCGTTTTACAAAAACGCAGAACGTAAATAAGCAAACTGTGAAAATCCTATGGGCAGTAGTTGAAAATAGAATTAAATGGCCAAAACATATTTAAGCTCGTGTTTTTGAATTGCAAATTCATCAGCTTTTTAAGCAATCGCTCTCATTGATCTAATAATTGATACTTTATTAAGATAGAAACCTTCAGCCAGCTTGAATAAGTAATTAACGAAATCCCATTATCCCATTTGAATCAAGGTTGGGGCATTTTGATACAATAAAGCAAGCAATGAATAAAGATTTTTGAAACATTATATGCTTGGAATCTCGCACTATGCATACTGTTATGGACTGCGGATGTTTTTCAGCAATGTTAAAAATAACTTTTTCCTTAAACAAACGGCAAAGATGAGTAAGTACTTGAACTTTTCAAACCTCAATACATCAACAGTACGAAACTGCAAGTCATTGATAAGCTATTTCTAGCTGAATTCCCGAAAGTCATTATTGTTAGCTCTGTTTTTCATATAACTATCCGATGTTCACTCACCTAACCTGATTAAATATTTAAATTCCCAGCAAACGAGTAACGTGTTATTATGACTAAAACCCTCATTATCCTCCATAAAGAATTTTTACAACAATGTAACAAAAAAACATTTAAATAACAATGTCAATCAAAGTACAATTAGAAATTAATTAGAGAGGTGCAATTTTAGTCCAGGAAATTTTTCAATGAACCTTAATCCAACGCGCAAACATCATTATAGACAATAATAAAACACCTGCGTATGTACGAAATGTTTAGTCGCAAGAAAAACGATTACAAAATAAATAGAGATTTAAAAGTTTGTATTAATCTGAGTTCGGTTCAGTTTTGTAACAGCCTAAGATTAGATTAACGATCGGGGAACAGGTGGATCGGGCAACAAGCTCAAAATTGCATCACCCATAAATTTAGGATATTCTATTTAGCTTGCGTTGTTTGCGAGATCAAGCAAATTTTAAAGCATCAGAGGAAAACCCAACGATAGACTAAACACTGAAATTATTGAAAAAAAGCACAAGCAATTTTATAACTGTGAATTTGTGGTTGAAAAAACCAGGTAAAAATGAACGGAAAACGATACGGCGTTGCCTGAGGAAATAAACTCACACTTTTACCCGAATCAAACAAAGCTTGAATAGAGTCAATTTTATTGGATTAACAAGCTGTCTCGACCGCTCTAATTCAATTCCATTAACTTCAATTAATTTTCATTAGGTGCTTATGAAGATCGTGTGAAAAAGTATCACGTTTAATCAATACCTCTTTACCTGAGTTGACCTTCTGTGTGAACATTTATTTTATCTTAGCCGCATTAAGGCATCAGTATAATTTGCATATTCATTTCGCCATTGTCGAGAGAAAAACGGCCAAAGTATTTTAACGAGTACGACCGCCAATATAAGAGTGTTGTTTTTTTAATAACCAAGAAGACTTCTTTCTAATAACGAAAAAGAATGAATCGATATGCCTGGCTTATTATTAGATGTTTAATATTAAAACCTAAATATTGCCAAAACCGGTAGCGATAAAGCTAAAACTTCATACATACAAATTGTTCAGAATCTTTGGGAAAACTTAAACTTGTAGGAAGATCCATTTAAAATAAGAGGTTTTTAAAAATTTTGGAGATATAAAGAGCAAAGCCACAGCATCCTGTAGGTATAATTGAATAAATCAATCAATAAAATCCACAAATCACATGCATACTGCATTGATAAATGTCCTCTGAAACTTTCAAAATCACCTGATTTACACAGAGGAAAAAAACAGCAATAAATGCAAAATTAAATTGCAGATTACAAAATTATGCGAAAATAAAACAGTTAGTTTCCGATATGGTGCATGTTTTCCAATCAATTGTCAGGTGACTCACAAGTTTATACATTAATTGTTAAGTCATTCGCTACATCAATTCAGTAAATGAAAGGTTTATTTACGCTTTATGTTACGGGAATTCAGTAAACCGATTACTGAGAAAAACTATCTTCGAAAGAATGTTTAATTATTAATGAATCGTTTTTATAAATGTCTTGGAAATAGTTCGCTGCAGCAAATATACTTTATTCTTAACATTGAACACTTGATGCGACGGTTTATTCAAGGTTCGCATGCTACTTTGTTTTACTTGTTATTCTTCAACTTTCATTTTCTTCTTTTCGAAGAAACAACAATCAAAGCCATCATTATAGATTAACTCAAAACTAACATAAAAACAAAATAAACTCTTTAAAACGACTTTATTAAATATAAACACAACATTTCTTAAATGTGCAGTTTCTGGTCACTTTCTAAGCAATTGCTCTCTATTTCTGCGTCATCTAGTTCCTCCTCTTCGGTATTGTCCAACAGAAGTTCCTTGTAGAGTTTGAGTTCGTCAAGTTCTTATCACTGCATAATTTCTTTTCCTGTCGGATTTTTGTTGTTTTGTGAGCTTCCACTGTTGCTTGCACTTTTCTATACGATTCTTAATCGATAGAAATGATGGCCACTAGCTACTCCAAATCGGCAAAAAAACCAAATGTTCGCTGCTTTTGAAAAAACGATTAACCGTAGAAAACGACCGCATATATAAAATAAAAAAATGTTTACATGTTTGCGTGTACCTACATGATATTGGCACAAGGTTGTGGCCAAGGATAATGATATATGTATGTAGTGAATTTAATATTCAGATGAAGTACATTTGTGTGTACATATTTGACGCAATGAAATGGCTTGCATCAATTCGCTTATTTCAGACATTATTGACTCAGATTCCAAAACCATTTATAGGTCAGAAAAAGACTCGCCTTGGGTGTGCGTGAACTGAACTAAACTGTTTAACAAAATAATCACCGCCAATTTTACCCTAACTTTGAACATGAATAAATTCTAATTGCTGGAGCGATTGAAATTATGTTTGAAGCGATATCGAGTCCAATCATTTTTCTATCACTCCAGGTTTTTGCAAAAATTTCGCACTTTAGATAAAGTTTCTAGAGAGTGGAAATCCAAGATAAGGTTTTTTGTTCAACTGGAGCAGGCTAAACTCAAAAATTTAGCATTGTTTCATATTCCACCGTGTAGGAACTTTACCTGAAGTCACTTCTTTTTTGTAAAAACACGGACTGACAAAAAAGAATTGGGTTAGATATAGCTTCAAACAGAAATTACTTCGCTGGCGTCAATCAAAACTTATCCAGTTTCAAAGTTTTCAAAGGGCAAGAACAATTGTTGTTAAAACACAATACTAAATTTGTGTTTGTTTGAACAAAAACCAAGTTCTCCGTGTTCGCTGTAGTTAAATTCTTGATTAGATGACCAATTTTTTTAATTTATTGCAAAAAATAATATTATTAAAACATGAACATCGTGAACAAACCTTGAGATCTAAATTCAATAGGAGAGACTATTCCAAGACATAATAAAACTTTTAAATTACAAGATAAATAGGTAAGAAACAAAAGAATACAAGATGTGACATCCCAATAACTTAGTGGACAAGGCTTTAGGTGAAACTATAGTATAACTATGATAAAGCCTGTTGCAGAGGAATGTGAAGGCAAATTCACTTGAGACCTGGACATTTTAAAATTTCAATATTGGTAATCTTTATTGTAACATTCGAATTTTGTCCTGAAAAGCACGCAAGATATATTTGAATAATTGAGCAACTTTCACTTCTGAAGAAACTAAACTAGTACTGACTGTTCCATTCCATTTTTTCCACTACTTTTCTTAGGCGGAGAAATCTTTTAGGCCTATTCGCTTTTCTGAGTTATTCATAAACAATATTTCTCCATCTTTTCGTGAGAATATTATGAGTCACTTCTGAAGTGATCCTCTATCATCAAATAAAATTTTGATGATTGGGTTCGTGTCCTTATCTACTATGGTGTGTTGGTTATATTCGTTGAATGTTTCATTAAATGCTCATTCCTTTCTTTTTATACCAATTGTGAGTAATGCATCAATTTTTATACATTACAATATGCACACTGCTAGAAACCTATTGATAGCAGTTAATCAGGCAGGTTTTTATCACATGACAGAAATACAATAAAGATTAAGTACGACAAAGAAAATAACTCAACAACAACGGATGTTAAATTCAATTCATACTTAAGGCGTTCGTTAGAGAATGACTTTCTTATCTCAGACAAAAGTTGTGCATAAATGTGTTAGGTATTGCTCTAAGTAAGGCGGTTTTGCAAAAGGATGCTATATAAGTTAATTGGGGACTTTTTCTACCTTCACCTTTAGACTAGAGGACATAATTTTACCAAGCAAAGTTCAACAATTAAGTACACGTCTGATAGTTGACTTTCCGCAAAATTGTAATTGGTTATACTTGATACCACAGATGTAATGCGTTTTCAAGAAAGAACATTCATTTGCCAAAAGATCTTCAATTATGGAACTTTCACTCAGATTTTCAGTGTGAACATGATGCCTGGGTTTTAATCTAATTGTAACGCATCCAGGCTAAACCTGGTAAGCCAACCATGCATGGGCGGATTACTAATGCACCTATGTAATATACAACTAATAGGAAAACTTATCACTTACCTCATTCGTACAAATAAACACCAGCAATCCATAGAAGTACAGCTTTGACGACAAAGTCCTCATTTTGCTTTGCCCACTTAAGAACTAATGTATTTTAATCACAGATTTGTCGCGTTTTAACCGAACTATTTGCTAAAATGTCTTTTAAGACCGCACAAACATCATCGATTGAACTTTCACACAAATACTACAAATAAATTAATGAATCACTCGCTTTTAAGTCTGGAGTGACAGAGAAATTCTGACATGTCTCAACCCAAAACTGAAAATCAGGAAAACAATAAAGCGCATGCGATCTGCAAATCGACGTTGCCATATGTAACAAATAAAGTATTTTTTAAGATTGAAGCATTTTCTACTATAGTGGCAACGCGAAAGATGGCCATTCCAGCTTGACAGTAAACGTCAGGAAGTTTCCAGTCTGGGGAAAATGCGTTTTTTTGTTGAAACCGCACTACCGGTAGGGAAAATAGCACGAAACTGGGGAGAAAAGCATTCAAAAATAAAAAATCCACAACTTTTCGCGAGAAAATTGAAAAGTCCGCAACATTTTTGAATTTTTGCCGGCGATCGCGCACTGCCTTTCAACCGACATTGAGCTACAAACTGATTCGACTGTGAGGGACGCATTTGAAAGCTTCCAAACTGAACCAAATTATGTTTACCAGCCTTTTCCTACATTAATCTGATGTGAATATTGCGATTTAAAAATTCTCATCGAAGATAAACAACATAACTTATAAACAAAAAGAATATTGCCGTCCATGCGGCCAAAAACAATGGCATCGCGTTCAAAGTGAGCACGAACGCACGCATGTTTATCAATCGCACGACGAAACCATAGTTTACTCAATCAAAATACTTATTATTTTAATAGTCATCGAAGATAAAAAATAGTTTAAAAAAACTACCCTTCGTTCTTATTTACTTCGCAAACAAAAGCAAAAAAACTAACTGGCAGACAAAGCAAAAAGTATATAATAAATATAACCAAAAGACTGTACAATGATTTAATAATTTTATTATATACACATAAAATCAACGTAACAAATATCTGACAGCTGAGGTAAAAGTAACATTTGGATTGGCATTATTTCAAGTGACAGCTGGTTATATTGATAAATGCAGATTCGCCTATTTCCAACTCATTAGAGGAAAATTGATAAAAACTCCTCATAAATATTCACTGAAATAAATATTATGAAAATTTCGAAAAACGACATGCTATGGACGAAGTTGAAAATTATGCAATTTTTACCATAAACCATCAACCCCGTCAATCTTTCTATAAATGTAATTTTGCCCTTGATGCAATAAAACATGTATTGATGAACTGAAAGACGTTAAATATGCAGTACAAGCCTTTAAATTCATAAATTGAAGATGAGAAAAAAAATAACAAGCTATATTAAAATAATATAGTCATAATCTTAGAATTTAAAAGGCTGTACAACTCAAACACAACAAAAAAATAATTATGCAAATTATGTTGTGACTGATTTGAGGAATTTTGCTTTTCTCTCAAAACCAGTTCTGGCGGTTCGCAGTAATAAATTACGGTCTTATCTTTGATTGTTCGAACATTTAAATTCACAAAATCATGGAAACAGGGTCTTCTAGACCTTCCTTGAAGGCTTGCAGCCATCTCGCACCAACGGCACCATCGACAACTCGATGATCGCAACTAAGAGTTACTGTCAAGTATTGGGCTTCTCTGAATCTAGAAAAAAACCGCTATTGTTAAAGATTGAAACGTAAAATCAGCTGGAAAGAATGGGGGTAACTTTGACTACAACGTAAAAATAGTTTAATAAATCACTTACCCTTTTTCTTTGGATTCATCCGGCACCAACCTCGTAACGCTCGTTCCTATAGCAAGGATACAGCTCTGAGGCGGGTTGATGATGGCACTAAAATGACTAATACCAAACATGCCCAAGTTGGACACACTAATGGTGCCTCCTATAAGCAATTTTTTTCTATTAACGATTACTCAAATCCAGAGAACTTTGTTCAAACTACCTTGGAACTCTTGTGGTTGAAGTTTTCCGTCCCTGGCTTTGGCAGCCAATTCTTTCACTGCCCGGCTGATTTGTACGACGCCTTTATTGTTGGCCTCCCAGACGATTGGCGTGATTAGGCCTTTATCGGTGGAAACTGCCACACTAACATCGACATTCTTATACTGTCTTATGGTTGAGTCAAACCAGTGTGAATTCGCTTCGGGCACCTGAAAAATTCCAGAAGTTTTAATTTGTTGGCCTAAGAAACACAATTCACAACCAACCTTCTGAGATGCAACAGCGGTAGCTTTTATAATAAAATCGTTAACGCTGAGTTTCACGCCGGATTTTTCCAATTTCTTGTTGTATTTTGCGCGGACTTTCAGCAGAGCATCGACGTTTATTTCTTGAGTGAGATAATAATGGGGGATCAGCTGCTTCGATTCCAGCAGCCTTTTAGCGATAGTTTTGCGGATGTTGGACACTGAAAAAAAAGTTTTTGATTGACGACCATAATCCAACTAAAGTTCAGCGATAGATACCTGGAATGTCAACATATGGGCCTGGAGCGGAAGGAGCTGCATGCGATACAGCTGGCCCTGAAGGTGCGCCAGGAGCTGGAGCGGATGGAGCGCCAGCCGCGGGAGCTGCATAATTAAATTTGTCACATTAACTAGTTGTTTTAAGAAGGCAGGCAATCACCGAACTAGGAACGCTACTTCACATCTTCGATCGATTAAAAGTACATGTTTTTCTAATTCTTAGGGCCCTTTACCTTGCGCTCCTAAATCAGAAGATGTAATCGCACCGAACAGGCCCGTTCCTTTTCCTTGAAGTCGGATATTCCTCTGCTCAGCCAGTCTTTTGGCCATAGGACTAGCATATACTCTATCTGTTGCTCCAACATTTGCAGGTGCTCCTGAAGTAATAGGATTATTGAAATTCCAGGTTTTTTGAATGGCTCAATTGATCAAATCAAGTTTTCCTTGTTTGTTTTTTAACTTTTTGAATGACTTAAGAAGTATCCATTTCAGTATTTGAATTATAAAAATTAAAAAAAGTGATCACCTTTAGAAATTAAAGGAGCAGCTTGTTGGCTACAAACATTGAAATTTGAAATCAGATTAGATAAAGTATCAGAAAAAAACTATGTACTTTTACTCAAACATTTGCCAAAACAACATAGATTAGGCAAAATATCAACAAATTTACATTTCCCGTTATTATTATCTAAAAACTTCATTTTTTCAATAGTACAAGTTCAAAAACCCGTGCCGCTTAACCTTGACGCTGCCTGATAACTTTGCTTGGATAAACATTATGTAATAATTAATGAGTGATTTCCAGTCGCAAGAGTTGGCTAAAACAATTAACGTTGGCGGTACCGAAACTAATTGAGGAAGAACTACAATACACTACCTGCAGGTGCTGCAGCTGTTGGTGCTGGAGCTGAAGGTGCAGCAGAAGGTGGCGGAGGTGCAGCCGCTTTAGGGGGAGCCGCAACTTCATCATCTTTGAAGTCTTTGAATGCTGCTAAATCGGCTTCATTTTCCACAATGATACAGACCTGCACAAAAAAAAGAAATAATCATGTTTCAAAAACGCAAATAAATTGCTGCTAACTCAAATTTAGATCGCAATATTTTGAATATACATGATGACTTTTCATAGTGCAGATCTTCTAAATAGGAAGATTGTATGATAGTGAACCGAATATAAAGCCAGATCTAAAGCTTCAAAAAATGGAAAGGTTTGTAGTTCCGATTATTTCAAAAATGTGTAGATAATTGTTCTGAAAATGCGACAAAATGAATCATTTCTTTAATTGACGGACTAAAAGAGTATGTACTTTATCACATTTGCAAAACAATCATCTGCAAGTTCTTTAAACGTGCTTTAGTACAAAAAACTGTAAACTATTTAATCTTTTTGACCAATTTTGTTTGTTTAGCCAAAATACTAAACGTTCTAATTGAAAGATTTACCAGTTTGCCAATGGGAACGTCTTTGGAACCAGCTGGAATTAAAATCTTCGCCAGATACCCTTCTTCTGGAGTCTCAAAGCCCATGGTGGCCTTATCTGTTTCGATTTCTGCTAGCAAATCCCCCTCATTTAACTTGTCGCCCTGTAAAAATAAACATTCTGGCTCCGAATTTCACAAAATCTTGCAATCAAAGTGTTACCTCTTTTTTCTCCCAGCTGATAATCGTACCCAATTCCATGGTAGGAGACAATGCTGGCAGCGTTACCCGAATATGGGACGGTAGGCTGCCGCTTGAGAAGTATTTTACTAAAAGCTGTGGAGTTATGGCCTGATGAACTAATATTTGGTTTTTGCAGTTGTGGGATAGTGATCTGAAATTAGACAAGTAAATTTCTAGTTTCCATTTTTTTAGTCCTTAATCTAGATATTTAAGCTCCTTTTTTTATCTTAGAGTTTATGACACAGTCCTTAAAAATCTACAGTGTTTGGTTTAAACAATATTTAAAAAACGCACTGTTTACCGTGCGTTAACGCTTCCATTCCGAAATATCATTCCCAAAATATATCGACAAACACTCTGTATATTTTAATTCATAAAATAAGTGAGCTTTTTAAAATCCAAAGCTTCGGAAATTTTCAACAATGTAGATACTCAAGCGGCATGAATCCGAAGGTTTCCAAGTTCCTAATTTGTTCTATGTTCCTAATGTTACTTTCTACTCAAGTTCAAGTGATTCGACCCTGATTTTAATGACCAACAAATATGCGAGTTTTACTCAAAATAACAAACTTGCAGCGTATCAAGTTCAAATAGGCAATTTTTGGGGCTGCAAAAATTTTAAAAAGGAAGCCGAATAAACCAAAAAACTAAACGTGTGTGTTGAAACATTTAGTGCAAATTATTCAAGCAATCTTTTCATTAAATGCACTTGATCATTAAATGGATAATGCTATTGCATTTCAATGGTTACCCTCAAAGTGACCCCGAAGGCCCGCACATGTTCTAACTACATAAATGGATCAATTTTTTTTCAATGTTGCATAACATTGAATTGAGGGTACACATGTTCTTATCTTTGAGTGCAAGCAAATACCACTTGATGTTAAAGAATCTAGATAAATACCTATAGAACGGCTAAGACCTCAATTGAAGGGGCTGAAAGCCATACAGGTGAGGACTTGTTATGTCAGTTTAAACCGTGATTATGTAAGTAAATCGAGGACGAATTGAACGGCAGGAAAGCCGCAAAAATGCATTACCTGTGAGAGTGTCTGCTCCTCACACATTGAGTGGCCAGGTTCCGATAACATTGTGTACGAAAGGCTATTCTAACCACCTCCTTGGTGACATCGCTTTTGAGAATTACAGTCCGGAACATGGTTGATTTTTGTCAATTAAACTTGTACGACTTCTTAAGGTTGGCGAAACAGAGGGCGACCGAAACTTTTATTCACTATCCTCCTAAGGTCATTTAAAAGACTTCCACGACCGAAATCTGTGTTTCTGACGTTATCTCGTGTCGAAAACCTCGCGAGTTTGACAAACTATTTTAGTATCTTTTTACTATATGACGTCAAACTGACAGGCTTAGGCACGTGTCTACTACGACATACGTGTCTTGGTTAGTCAACGCGATAGTGTGAAATACATATAGAGAAATATGTCGGTTCATAAACTGCCGACGAACTTTTGGAGTTTTCTTTGAAGAATACTGCACTGGATGATCGGTAGTTTGAATAGATACGCATAGAGGGCTCCCCACGTATTGGCTGGGACTTGCATGAAGTGATGGGATTGTCGAGCGTCGTTCGAGTCTGATGGGTGAAAGACCTCGCAAATTGGCTAAAAATGAAGTAGGAATTTTACGTTCAGTTCATTCAGTTGCGGGAATTGCTTGCTTATAGTAATTTACTTGGATTATGCGCTCTTCAGCAACACTATTCGAAAACTGAGAGGTTGTTAACCTCAAACGTCAAAAATTTTACCAAAGGTCAAGCTAGTTTATCAGCGCTTGCTCACTTATAAAAAATGCCTGTACCTACAACGTTTCTTAGTGGTGTTGTTCGCAAAGTGCGATTTTGACCACTTTCCTCATTTCAGATTTTAATTTAAAAAATATGTTTTTGTCTCCTTTCCTCGTGTGCTCGCCAGTTGTCTTGTCCCTTTCCATTATACAGGGTGGTTCAATTTTCTCTCAAACCTCGCGAAAAATCCATATAAACGTAGTTACGGAAGCACTTCGTCTCCGAGGATTCAATGCCGATCATTGAATCCTCTTTAATGCGTTTTTTGTGCCGAGCCCTTCGAGCACGACACTGATTGAGAGGCAAAAGCTGAAAATGGCAATTTTAGAATGTTTGCGCGTCCAAACCAGTGTTGTGCTTGAAGATAATCGCACAACTTTGGCAACCAAAAGTGTTTGATGTATTTGTTGTTCCAAACCTGTCGGACACGACCTTAATTTGACACTATCTGACATTTTTGTTGCCCAATCAGTGGCACAACAAATACATTAGACACCTTCGAATGTCAACTTGTCAATATTTTTGTACTGCGCCACTGAAGTTTAAGTGATTTAAAAAAAACCTTTTTGCAATTTAGAAATTAAAATTTCTTGTCAGTTTCCACATACAAGTGGAGGCAAAATTTAGAAAAACCTGCAAACATATGTAACGCTGCTGACTAAAATGAGCAATTATTATTATTTCTGAAGCCCCAACAAGCACGAAAACTAATTACAAAAGCCGACTGAGAGCCATGATTATTTTCATAAGGCCCGTTCTATACTATTCGCGTTTCGCGCCAGTGCATTCCACTCTCAGGTCATTCATACCTAAGGTCTGTTGATGACTCGCCAAAGCGATCAACAGTCATCTCACCTCCCTCGTCTGTTTCCATCTTCTTCCACCCCATCATAGTGTTATGCAGACGTACGTCCCAGCTAAGTGGAATATTCGCGCCGACTGCTTCTTGATGGGGGGTTGGCGCAGGGTTTTAGGGCAATCAGGCCGCCCTCTTTTGCTACGTCATCTACTACGCCGTACTTTCAGGCGACTGATCGATAGAACTGAACGGCAACGTAGTGGTAAAAGCCATCCTAAATATAGGGCTCATTTCCTGGAAATAAACTGTTAATTCATTTGGGGGTCTGATTAATGGAAGACTGCGCCAACCGATGCTTAGATTCGCCCCTTATTTTCATATTACGCAGCACAAAAACCATTAAATGTTGTACTGTGGTATAACTGAAAAATCAATCCATTTAACACTTTTCATAACTCAGGAACTTACGACTCACCAAGATGTTTAAAATTCTACGCGAAATTGTCTTTAGGCCTAATGGTTACCAAGAGATTAATTTCTTGATTTTTTAAGGACGGAATAAAATGATGCTAACTAAAGCTATATTTGGTAATTTTTTTATGTTGCGTCTAATAGAAGTAATTATGGTTGCTTAATTTGCCGAATACTAAAGAAACTTGCGTTTTTTAATGAAAATTGTTTATAATTGGCTCAGACTTCTTATTTTGTTCTCAATTCAATGATATAAATGTTTCCAATAATTCAAAAATACCGTGGAAAATGTTTCTAGAAGGCTTTGGAACTATTAATTAAAACGTCATCTGTCAATAAGAATGTCACTCCAACAATTAAAAATAAAAAAACGCATTAAAAACTGTATTTCAATTTAAAAATAAATGTTTCAAAATATCAAAAATCCCCCATTATCAATTTTTTTCATTAGTGAAACAAAATTAATTAAACGCTCCAAACTCATCCGTGCCCTATGGCACATTTCCCGTCGATTTTCGCATAAAATGTTCATATTGCTCCTCAAAATCGCGGAATTTTTCATTAGATAGTGATCAGACTATCCGGACATTCTCCAACCGAGAACAATTGCGCCTGATAAGAAATTGCGCATTTTGCAGCGATGCAGTCTGGTCCCGAGCATGCAACCCCATCACATCCTCATCCACCCAGTTACATTGATCGACCCCATTTCTAAGCCTGGCGGCCTATTTTATCTTCCCCAAAACAAAACGGCGTGGTCGCCCACTGTTGCCAACTGCCGCCCCTGTCTGGACAGATTCCATGGATAGATATCACAATATAGGTTAAGTACGGGACAGATAAAGTGCAACACGCCCATAAACCGGGTAGCCCAACATTGACGCCAGTTTTATTTAGCTAGGATTACTTGGGAAGCCCAAGGGATATCAAGCAAAACATTCGCGACGTTTTGCCAACACGAATGGCTTACATCCTCAGAGGTTTTTTGCTGGGCAGCTTAGACGGGAGTGATTAACACTGATTTTTTCGGACTTTAAGGCAAGGAGGGGCTCGGCGCAGCACCACCCTGAAGATGGAAGCCATAAGTGCGTGCGAAACGTCAGGGAGACATTATTTTCCACGACGGCATCAAAGCCCGAAAAATTCATCAGTTGATATTATCTGAGCTCGAACATTCATAGATTAATTCAAAACCGACTTAACTCAGTGCAAACTTTAAATAAGGCTGAAAAATTGCCAGAAGTGAACAACACGAAACCAAAGTGACCAGCAAAAGTAAAATTTCCAATTTTTCTGATTCTTTTAAATTATTGTACAGATAGAAGAAAGTAAACACCAAGATTTCAGGCAAATAATAGTAAATTTTTTACGTTTTTAAAATGTAAATTCCTGCTATTCCCCGCTTACGACAAATCACTAATACTAGGATTAATTTTTCCGCTCAAATGAATAAAGCCATTAATAAATAATTTATGCGCTTACCCTGATCTAGAACAGGTTTTTTTATTGGAACGAGTCGTAAATCCGACAACCCCGTCTGTATAGAGGTCGAGGGGGTTGGCTCCCATCTAAAAAGGAAAGGGATGATGCGGAAGAACGCGGAAACGACGTATTAGAGTTTACAGGATTAATGAGTGAACGATATTGGTATTTATGAGTTAGAGGTTTGGGGCCGGTATAGTCGTCTACCCTCTCACGTATACGTGATAAATGGCACGAACGCACAAACTTCCCCTCGACCATTTGTTCGTCGCCATCAAAATCTGTCAACAGAGTTATTTTTTTCCGAACACCCTAATTAAATGTTGGTTTTTTCATCGTGCAGGCCTTCGAACAGTGCTCAGCTTTCAGTTAAAAAAATATTGTGCCGTAAGATAGAAATTAAATTAGGCAACAATCCTGCACCGACAATCTCAGGCAATAATATTATGTAAATCCTTTTGGCTTGATGGGATTATTCGCGCAGCGAAACCACTAAGCTGCAGGAGATATTTGTCATTTGCTGCTTTATCTGCCAACACAAGCGTTAAAAATAGTAAATTATTGATTTTTAACCGAAAAAAAAAACTTTTTCTAATCTAAATCCTTTTCTCACTCTCACACATCGACTTTCCGAAGACAACTAACCCCGCTAATGCAAGGGCGGATCCAGGGGGGATCATGGGGGTCATGACCCCCCCATTCAATTCTCTATC